CTATAGCCTCCTTTACTCCCCCCTCTCTCGGCGTTTTATTACTAATGGCAGTGGACCAGCTTCACGTGTTGGATGGTGGCCATGTGTAACTGCTGAATTTATTACTGGACTGGCATGCTGTTTTTTTAAATACATAATATACGATTGTGTGACCAGACACATTGCCTATAGTTAACGCCAGTGAGCAGACACCACCATGTTTGTTTATACTATACCAGCATCTGACGCTGCGGGTATTTAGATACTTGTAAGATCCTATCTATCTATTTCTAGCCCCAATTCTAATTCTTATCCAGTCCTAATTTAAATCCTTACCCCAATTATGTACCGAAAGAAATAAGTGAATACAATCGTGTATTATTGTACAAAGGCCGAAGTGTATATAGATTACAGTAGTATGATGTATGCATCTGTAATTCTAGACCTTTATTTTGTACGACGGCTGCCTATTTTTGTAATAATTCATAATGTACTACGTTCTACTTTGTATTTTTAGCCTTATTGAAAAACACTACTTCCTTTCTTTTACAAAAACTGCAGGAATTTTCACGACGGGTTTCTTCATTCTTTTAAAACGTGTGTTTCAACTGTTTGTCTGAAGGGTAATATATGGTCAAAAGGTTATGGTTAAATCTTGTATTTCAATTTGACTCATTTCTATTGTAGTGATTTCTTGTACTTTGATGATCAGTTCCTCTTCGACGGCAACGCTAGAATATCTCACATTCTCAATTTTTTATTTAAAAAAAAAAAAATTAAAGATTACTATAATCAAAAATTACATGTGAGATAACTAGATTAGCGATTACTCGATCAGGTAACGTAATAACCAACTACTGACGCTAAGGGGGAGATAATTGACGTTTAGAATTACTGATTGGGGTTTAAAGGAGATATTTTTTAGTCGTGTGGGGTGTCGACTTAATTATTATCGAACAAAATGGAAAGCATAATTATAGTAATAATTAAATTAGATGTCGACTCTCTCTTGATAAATCTGTACAACTTTTTACTACTATAAAGTAGAAAATAAAACAAATATAAAACTTGTGTAACAAGTAATGAAAATAAATAAGACATATATAGATCAACATTAGCTTTAGCTTTATTCACTCTAGAAAGTTTTTCATGACATGCTGTGTGATATCATAGTTTTTACCGTTCTACTAAACAATCTGTATCGACCACTACCTGTAAATTGTCACTGTAAATGTTTTATCTGCCCTTTGTTTCTCCCTTTCCTGCGCCCATTCAAACCCTAATTATACGAGGTACATGAACCAGTGATCAATTGTGGGTTTTTGTGGACAACATAATTAATAGCTCGTTTACCAGTTAATTAATGCTTCTTTAATTTGTTATTGACGTCTTGCAATCGTTTTGTATATAGTCAGACATACATTGAATGTATGTAGGTTGGTTAGTAAGTGTCAAGATTTCTTCACAAGTGGGTACTGCTGGCTACAATCGTGTAGTCATGTCTTCTGTGTTCTGGTGTCGTGTCTACGTAGTCACGTGACATGTCTACGGTCATATTCGTCACGTAACATGTCTACGGTCATATTCGTCGTGTGACATTTGTACGGGCGTATATGTCATCTGACACGTTCACTCGTGTGACATGACATGTCTGCGGGCTCGTTTGTCATGTGACATTTGTACGGACGCACCTTTCATGCGGGATCGTGTGCCAAGTGACTTGTCTAAGGGTGTAAGTTGTGTGTGTGTACGCGCGCGTTTGTGTGTGTTCTATTTCCGTGTTTTCTGTTAGCGCCGGTTTGCCGGTCACCATTAAGGAAATAAAAAACTCCACGACTTTTAAAGCAAAGCTCTGTTACGGATAGTAATCACGCTGGTGAGAGGAGGGAGGTGTGTGTGTGTGGGGGGGGGGGGGGGTGGTTACTGAATATAGACATGAACTTGCTGTACCGATCTCTTTCAGTGGCCTGCCAAAAACATGCTGTCGAAAAGTAAAGGGGCTTAAAAAAACAATTTTTGTTCCGGTTATCTCCCCTCCGTGCGTATGTGTGACTACTGTCGCTGACTGATGACGTCTTGTCTGGCCGATGAACTCCCTGAGCCGCCACCTTCATGTTGTAACAGGCGAACCGGCGTAAAGTGCGTACATTAAACGCCGCGGCCAACTATAACAAAATACAGATGATAAACAATACAGAGTTCACGTATGTGGATTATGAATATGCCTGCTATTTTTCCTCTGTCGCTAGAGCTGGTTTGTTGACATTAACCACGTGTTATAGCTATACTACAACCAGCGGTCCGCATGCCTTGATTGAAATAATGTAAGGTACATCTAGAAATCGCGAGTGCTTGTTTACGAGAGAATATTGAGATAACTTGAGGGTAGGGAAAAAAAAATCTGCCTAGATTGTAAGGGCTGATAGTCATCTAATGAAGTATGCCTGTTTTTGGCTTTCATTCAAAACAATGTTAACGAGAAAGATAAAAAAAATGTTTCAACTGGGGATTAGTGGGTGGGGGGGGGGGGGGATAGATTTTCTAAAACAAGAACAAGGCTTAGTGAGTGGCGTTAAAAAAAAAACAACAACGAACACGCAACTTAACAATTGCACGTGGTTTCGTTCAGAAAATTCCAATCACTTGACGCGTTACCCATTAAAGTTTCCTCTCATCTCCCATCGTTATGTAAAAAAAAAGTTGCTACATTTACAGGCGGGTTGGTTTCCTCACGTGGAAGAATACTATCTGCTGTCGTCACAGCAACAGGCTACTGTGTAATGCTATCGAGGATGCCTGGTTATCTCGTGGAATTCGGTCCTTCGCTTATCCTCCCATATCCGTCAATATACCACAATGTTGTTTTTTTAAGTCTCTAAGCACTCCTTGCTGGAAGCTTCAGTGTATTTATGTATTGATTAATAGCAAACTATCGTACATAATCGTATTATCGTGCTGGGTTGATTCTGTTGTGATACTGTCTGCATAGGTAGAGAGATGCTCATAAAATTCACCCCCACGCCCTTTCCTCCCCCCCTCCGGTGTGTGTATTGATCAGCAACTGATAAACCTGCTTGCTGGGCTGTTGACGTAATATTTCTAGCCGTGAGCTGTCCTTCCAAGCACGTCATTTCCCCCCACCCCTCTCCCACTTTCTAATGGATGCTCTAAGAATACCAGCTTGCTGTGAAATAACGCTATATTTGACAACTTTATTTGACGTTTAGACACATTCTTTAAAAGTTTTTTTTTTCCTTAAGTGGTGGTATTATTCCTATGCCGTCACTGTAGAATAACACAGGTTTATTAGTCTGCATAAAATGCGTCACTTTAACTTTGTTCAATGACAACTACAATAAGAAAAAACTCCAAAATTAACAAGAAATATGCTTGGCCTTTAAAAAAAAACTACTTTTTAATTTTGTCAACGATCTCTTTTGCTTTAAAAAAAAATTTCTATCCCTAAAAAGGAAACACCAAATGATTTTAAAAAAAAACCTGTTGGTTGGTAATAGAGAGGAAAAATGTTAAAATTGTCAATGATCCATTTGCTTTTTTTTTTAAAATCTTGATCCTTAGGGTGGTTGAATTCAATGTTTTTAACTTTACTTGTACTTATAACCATTAAAAGGGTTTCAAAGTTTTTAGGATTTTATTATTGAGGTATATAATTGGACACAAAGAACTAGATTTAACATAAATTCTGTTTATCTTTTAAACTTGAAAAATAACTTATTTGTATGATTGCATTATTTATACACACAATTTGATTAGAAAAATAATATGTAATACCCAATACAATTATATAATATTTTCTTCAATGAAATACTCTCAAACTATCCTTAGTGATAAACATTAGAGCTTTGAGACACCATTTAGGAAAACATGAAGTTATTACTACCTTGTAATAACTCTTGTTGTCTCTTACAGGCCCACATAGAGCAGTGATTGTGGCTGCAGTGATTGTCTGGACTTGTTGGGTCTCACTTGACTGTCCTCTTGGCTTGATTACTTCTGGTCTTGATTGCTTTTTATCTTTGCCTCTAGTCATGTCTAGCTGACTCTTGGTACATGCTCAACTCATCCCTACTGCGACCAGTATTGGTTTTTAGTTCTCACAAAGTTTGCTTTGATTTGCAGATTGTACTTGTACTAAAGTATACAAGCTAAATAGATTATAATAACACATCTTTGATTTGCAGATTGTACTTGCACTAAGGAATAGAAACTAAATAGATTAAAATAAATCTTTTATTTGAAGATTGTACTCGTACTATGTTATTAAACTAAAAGTTATATTAAATGATACTTCAACAAAATGTTTATAAGCTTACCCCACTCCCCATTAAGCTGTATACCTTTGTAGGCTGCATTTTAAAAAAATGTAATATAAATATATACTTAAATATTCTGGACCATATCAAGGTGATTTGGTGACCATTACACTTGTGCACATATTGGCCAGACATTAAGATAGAATTTTATAACTAGTGTCATGATTAAGCCAACCTGGACCAGTATTGATTTAACATCACTCCCAAAATAGCTACACTTTAGACCTCAGCTGAAACAGATAAACAACCACTGGTCCTCTGTGAATAAAACATGTTAACATTTACTGGGCAAAACTCTATTCTTTTTCTATAAAAACTTTATGGTACTGAGCTCACTAAAGTGTGAATATTATACTTATAGAAATAGTCTTATTGGCTTTTCACACATGTTCCTCTAGAACCTGGTGTATTTTACTTCTGTAAACCAAATTCATCTAAAAATGTTACTGACAAAATATTCAGGAGGGATAGATTTTAAAATATTTCACCTGATGATATCACTTAGTAAACTGGCTAATTTATTACATAAAGAAAACTGTATGGTTTGATACATTTGTTTTTAAAAAGACAGCGCAACAACACACTAGTTATACACATAAATTCAATTAAAACAATTTACTCCAACTTCAAACAAATGTTCTCTTATGATCTGCATTTCCAAAGTATTAACAGATTCCTATATTATAGTTTTCAGGTAACTTATTCAGAACATTACCACCGTCTTCTAATCCAAGTGGTGCTGAGTTTGATCCTGAAGAAGATGAACCCACACTTGAAGCAGCATGGCCACATTTACAGGTTTGTTTGTTAGGGGATTCAAAGAGCAAATTAAGTTTTAAAATAACTTGCATAAACAGTTTCTTTCTTTTGTTTTTGTATTTTTGTTGTATAAAATCTTTTATTACATATTTTCTTTTCAGCTTGTATATGAATTTTTCTTACGGTTCCTCGAATCACCTGATTTTCAGCCTAACACAGCAAAGCGATATATAGACCAAAAATTTGTTTTACAGGTCAGCGAAGTTTTCAAAAGCATTCTCTTTTTATTTTTTTAACCTTAAAGTAACAACATCCCCAGTTTTTTGTTTAATAGCTAACATTTTGTTTTAAACATTTGAACAATTACTGGACTTGTTTGACGTTGAAGACCCCTGAGTTTTGTTTTACATTATAATAACTTAATTTTTTTTAAACATTTGAACAGTTACTGGACCTGTTTGACAGTGAAGACCCCCGTGAACGTGATTTTCTTAAAACAATTTTGCATCGTATATATGGAAAATTCTTAGGTTTGAGGGCTTATATAAGAAAACATATAAACAACATTTTTTACAGGTTTGTGTTTGTTTTTAGTATATTAGTATTTCTTTACAACATACCACAAATATTACAATTATTTAAACTGACAAATTACATTTTTATTTGTAATACTTAATAAGGTTGCATATTACATGTATACCTTTTAATTTTCTTTTTAGTTTTGTATATGAAACAGAAAGGCATAATGGCATAGCAGAATTATTAGAAATTTTAGGGAGGTACAGTACATATTTTATAAATTTTAAAAATCAAGCTGTCTAGTTGTGTTTGTATCAGCCTTTTGTACCAACTTCTGCTATCTTTTGAAAAAATGTTTTCTTGAATGTTGATCCTTTGAAGTTAGTATGTAAAATAGGCATGCTTGTGTCAGTTTTCCTTTAACCTCAGTTAAAATTCTCCTATTCCACAGTATAATAAATGGCTTTGCATTACCATTAAAAGAGGAACACAAGATATTTTTGTTGAAAGTTTTGTTGCCGCTCCATAAAGTGAAGTCACTCAGTGTTTATCACCCGCAGCTGGCGTATTGTGTTGTACAGTTTTTGGAGAAGGATCCAAGTTTAACGGAACAGGTGCGTGAAGTTGGGTTTTTTAAACTGTTGTCATTTTGATTGTTGTATCAGAAACAGCTGTTTAAGGAGGCTTTCTTATTTTAACAGGTTATCATGGGGTTATTAAAGTTTTGGCCAAAAGTTCATAGTCCAAAAGAGGTAAGTTAAAAATCAGTTATATGCTTATTGCATTGTCTGGATTGAATACATAACTAGCTTGTATGTTTGTTAAAAAGTTTCTTGGTAAATCAAATTACTATTTGATTGACTATACAAATTGACATTCCCAACATAAAAGATATTGTCAAAGGTAATTCATGTAAAATTTAGTGTTATTGGGTAAAAAGTAAGATGTTATTGTTATGACTCTGTAGTAAAGTATGGGTTACATACCATGTTTAAACCCTTTTGTAGAACACCCTTACAGGTTTTGCCTTTCTGTAACAATTTTTTGCATTTAAAAAGTCTTTTGTTTAGTTACAAAATATAGGATAGGTTTTATATCCAGTCAAAGGATTTAGTGGAGAAAATGTATGGTTGACAACACTTGTTTAAAATACTTAACCTCTCCATTTCAAACCACTACAGGTAATGTTCTTGAATGAGCTGGAAGAGATTTTAGATGTGATAGAACCAGCAGAGTTCACCAAAGTAATGGGACCATTGTTCAAACAACTAGCCAAGTGTGTCTCAAGTCCACATTTCCAGGTAGGACCCTGAATGAGTTGAATGAAGAAATGAATGAAAGAGAACTCTTCTACTTCTATACATTGTGCAAGATTTTCAACTCATGGAAATGTAGTTTTCCTCTCAAGTTCTTCACCACTACAACACTTCCATGTGTGATAAATGCAGATCATTTCTTTGATTTTTTTTTCCTCACTTAATTTATTATTCATTTTCAAATATCTATCTGATTTCTTCTGGTAACGTGGAAGCAACATCAGGCGTAATCTGTTTGAATATCTTTGACCCCAGGTAGCCGAGCGAGCCTTATACTATTGGAATAATGAATACATCCTAAGTCTTATATCTGATAATGTAGGCACTGTACTTCCACTTATGTTTCCTGCCCTCTATAAGACACAACAACACTGGAACAAGTAAGATTTGAATGGGCAGCCATGTTGGCCTTCCCCAACATTGATGCTAAAGTTTTGACCTGCTTTCATTGGGTTGTTTTTGTTTTATTTCCTGAGTGGCAACATCTGTGTTGTGTTTAGCTCTCTTCACCTTCTTAACCCTTTAATACCCCCCTAACAAAGTGTGTGGGCTTTGTCGTGTGGTGATAACTAGTATGCAATAGCCAGCTGCATGCCAAATATAGTTTTAAAGAGTATTATATTATAATACTCTTTCAGCTGATGAAAACTTGTTTTTAAAATAATGAAAAGTGGAAATTGCAGTTCATTGTAAGAGGATCACATGCTTTGAAATTAAAGTATAAAATATTTTTTTTAAAGGCTTGGCTTTTAATCTCTTTTTGGAATAAAGCCAGCTTGGATGAGATTGTTTGTTATTAATGGTTATCTTTAGTGTTTCTTGTTTGATTCTGCATGTCTCACAATGCTATTTTCTGAGTGTCTGGTGGACTGTGGTTATCTTAACTTGCTGAAGTGTCTCTTGACTAAATATTAGTTTTCAAAATTATTTTATATTTTATTAAACTTCCCAAAACTTTTGTCCTACTTCATCGTTCAAATAGACAATTTTAGTGTAAGGGTTATTAGGTGGTAAAGAAAAGAATACACATGCGCATTTTCTTAGCTGGATGATACTAAACTCAAACATTAACATGTAACAAGCAATTTTATCATTAAAACAGTTAATAAAAATCAAGAAAGTTAAGCTAAATAAGAGTAAATGTTACTTCATTTAAAGCATATCAAATTATAGTAAAGGGAATGACTATTTTACAGGAAAGTATTTAAAATTTCCAAGCATTTTAACTCATTTGAGTATCACTATCCAGAAATAACCCTAACAATTAAAAAAAAAAACTCATTTGATGTACACTGTAAGAAAGTATATAATCACAAGTTAGTTTTTGACACTAGTTTGTTTTCATCACACCCTTTTTATCACCATAATACAGCTTCTAATATACAAAACCCTCAGATTTTGTAGGGCAGTAACAAATTAATCTCAGTGTTGTTGATGCTCTAAACCTAGTTTTTTTTTTTTTGCTTGTATAAAATCTGGGGATTTCTTAAATGATTCATGGCTGGGTCTCTATATCTTCTTCCATGCATTTTGAAGTTGTAATATTGTTGTTTTGTCTTGTTGTGTCTTGCCTCCTCCCCCCACCAATATTCCCCTGTAGGTGGCAGAGCGGGCTCTGTATTTCTGGAATAATGAGTACATCCTGAGTCTTATCAGTGACAACGCCAGCACCGTCCTCCCCATCATGTTCCCTGCACTGTACAAAAGCAAGGAACACTGGAACAAGTAAGGTCCTCCTGTCTAGCTAGTTGGTCGGACTGGCAAGGTTCCTGGCCATCATGTGGAGATGGCTACAGCAAATATATTTTCAAAAAGAAATATCTTTTTATAGATGTTTAAATAAAAAATATGAACTATAATAAGTTATTTAATTTAAAAAAGTAAATCAGTTATTATGGTAAGCTACATATGATTTTGTATTACATTGTGTTTTGTAAAGCATTAACATTTTCTCATTTAACCTAAAAAGTTACTGATTGTTTCTTTAGATACCTAATAGTAATATAACTATCTGCATTGGCTTGCCAGTTTTCTATATTGAAGATTAGTATAAACATTAATGTTTGCTTTCAAACATTTTCATTTGTGATAGGTTTAAAATTTTAAAAATTTTAAATTTATAAATTCAAAGGCAAAACTATCATTTTACCACAATACGTATGAAATGATGTATTAATGATAACTTCAAAATAACTTTTACAGAACAATTCATGGATTGATATATAATGCACTTAAGTTGTTTATGGAAATGAATCAAAAACTTTTTGATGACTGTACACAACAGTACAAAGCTGAGAGGCAAAAGTAAGTAGATTTAACGAAAAATTAACTTTATCTATTTTTTAAAAAATAATTTCAAATTTTAATTCCTATTTGATATTACATTCCTCTTTTTATATACATGTATTGTTAAATTTATTCTAGAGGTTCTCTTATGTTTATAAATATTTACCTTAAATTATTTCTGGTTCATTGTGGTTTCTAAAGAACCAAAAAAAAAATTATTTTTTTCATAGAGAAAAAGAAAGGCACAAGCAAAGAGACGATGCATGGAATAAAATAAACAATTTAGCTCAGGACAATCCTCAGGTTGGTGTGCTTTATTTGTTACATGGAGTGGCATGGAATGGACTTTTTAAACCTAATGATTGATTGTTTGTGCAGTAATCTTATTTTAAAATGAAGCTTGTTTCTCTGGCATTTCAAAAGGAAAATTTTAAAGTCACAAGTAATGGGTGAAAAGAAAAAACCTGGTGTATGTACATTTAGGTTACTATAGCACCTAAAAAATAGTCTAGTTTATATCTGCAGTTTTCCTTCATCTTGGAGGTAATTTTATTAACAGTCTGAAAAAAGACATTTTTGAAATTTAAAAAACTGATTAACCCCAGCAATAGAATAAATGCTTGTAGCTTCAAGCAGTTAAATGGATGTTAACTCATTCCTGCCGGAGTCCTCATTTCTTGAGCATTATAAAGTGGACTTGCTGGATTTGCCTTGAACTTCCAAAATATGCTTTGTTAAATAAATCAAAATTTTATTGGTATTTAATCATTAATTGATTAATACTAAAAAATATCACTCTTCAGATAAATTGGTATAAACTTTTAAGAAATATTTAAGAGTAAGTTTACACACAAAAATACCATTTGGTAGGGGAAAAATGATTTTAAATATATTTTTAAATTTTTAAGTGATCATGATGTAAAAATTCTGGAATTTAGTCATATCAGTATCTAAAAAGAATTAAACTAGAGAAAAGCTTTTCTTTTTTTTATAAATTCAGTTTCAAGAAGTAAATTAATCATTCCAGGAATTGGGTTTAGCAATTTCTAACTTGACAACTTTAACATGACAAAACATATTGTGTGAAAACTTGAGAGCACTATGTTCTTTATATTTACTAGCTGTTCCCCAAGTAAAAATTGAAGCACAAGTGACATTGGTGGAAGTTATTGTGTCAATTTCTTAAACAAAAAAAATTTGTAATTTTTTTTTTCTTCTTTATGTGCTTTATTTTGTGGTTCTCTCCCCCACCACCTCACACCCTGTTTTAGCTTTTATTCTTGAGTTGTGATTACTTAACAGTTAGCTAGTTTTGATGGAGAACACAGCACTCTCACTTATGGTCACTGTACAACTAAGATTCATACTTTTTTTTAATAAAGATTTAACTAGACATTTTATATTCACCATCTCTGGTGGTATCTGGTTAGTTAAAAAAAAAGATCAGGGTGATGTAATTATAGCAGAAGAGATCCAACAATCTTTTCTTTGTGCTTATAAACAGTACAAAATCGTGATGACATCAGTGGTGTCTAACAGCTCAGGGTCCACTATGTCTCCGCCCCTAAATAACATCACAGATGAGGAAGGAGATGTGATTGTCTCTATGGAGAAACTAGAAGCAGAGGCTAAGGACGTGAGTGCCAATCCCACATTTTTAAGGGTTAAAAAGATATTTAAGACACATTATCCTATGAGCTTTTTAACACATTAACAGTGAGCTAGCTACAAGTTGCTGTTTTGTTTATAAGCAAATCTTTACTTTGAAACTTGAGGACGCTAGATTCAAATTTTAAAACAATAACAAAGTGATTGTTGCTTTTAAAGCTTGATGATAAAAGCAATCATAGAAGTACATTCTTAATGTTTATTTCACTTATTTACACCTGAAAAAAAATAATAGTGCTTGTCTTTTATTCGCATGTGTAGGAAAATGGCTTTCCATTTTTGCTGCAATCAACACTTTAGAATGTGTATTGGTAGTTTGGCAGTTATATTTTTAAAATGTATTTTTTTTTTATTAACAATGCTCCCAATTAGTTGTCCCCTTTCTTACTTGTATGGTCTTGTTTCTAAGTTAAGAACTAATGTGCCAGTAACTTTTACATCTCAATTTTTGGAGTTGAGAAGTAAAACATTTATAATTTATGTTGATTTTTTGTTTTGTAAACAAAAGCTTTTCAAGTGTAACACCAGTATTATTTATCTTAATCAAAGCATTTATAATTTTTAAAGATAATCATTGTATTCCATATGTATTAGACCTTCCTACTCTTTAACATAGTGCATCAAAAGATTTGACACACTTTGTTAGTAAATAGTTATCTTTTGTTGTTTAATGATTTTATTGTTGTTGTTTTGTTTTTTTTATCTTTCACTAAAAAATATTATAGAAAAACTTTAAAAAAAATTATTTTGGCCTTTCTAACATAGCTTCGTTTTCTTTATGTAATAATTGTAAATTAATTGTTTTCAAATGTATACAGCAGTATATACGTTACAAGCTTATCTTTGTATGAGGACTTGAATTGAATGCTGTTCATGTTAAAGGATGTAGGCTTTGTGTTTTTCTCAAACATTAACTTATTTAGTTAAGTAGTGCTAAAATCATACAGTGACAAGAAAGACAACAAGCACTTCCAATGGAACTTTAATCACTTTGCCATCTTTTGCTCTCAATTCTTAGTAAAGTTGACAGCTTTATTAAAAAAGCCAAAGGAAAGATTCTTCAGCTATAAAACCACATTATTTATCATAATGTGTTTGACATGTAGGATTTTTTTAGGTGAAATAACAGATAAATTATGCAATAAAAACATACAAAATTGACCATGATGTTTTCCATATTTTTATTGTAGGCAAAGAACTCTCTTGTAAGTAAAAATATCTTAACCACAATAGAATTGCTCTCACCTTTGTGTTGTATTTAATTTTTTTTAATCATGCATTCCACGAATGAAACTTATTTTTTGTTGTTGTTTTTAACATTTTGTTTTAACCATTTTTATTTAAGCTTTATGTCCTCAACTTGTTACTATATTTTTATGGAATTATAACTTTTTTTTTATAACTTTCTAGTTTAGTCTGTGTTGAGGACACTTGATTTGGTTGTGTTGTTTGCAAATTTTTAAGTTTTTAGTTTTTCAACTATGAAGAACAGCATGTAGAAGAATTTAACGAAACTTTTGTTCATGAGAGTTTGTGTTGCAATTTGCATGTTCAGAATAAATGTTTTAACAATAAATGGCTTAGGGCATGAATTGTTGAGATTTGTATTTATTTATAAACTTCTACATTGGATGTTATATAAAGTATAACATCTTTATTCAGTCTTACTGAAGCTCTTAAACTTCATAAACAAAGTGAGAATTACAAATGCAATATTTACATATAGCTTATTGTATTTTAATCCATTTGTTTTTCCTTTATTTACTAATGTATATTTTATGTTTTTAAATATTTCCACTGTAAAAGTGCTAGGATCAGAACAATATTTTATTTTACTGAAGGTAGTAATAAAAGCACATTAATATCTTTGTTGTAAACTCATTTAACACAATTTTTATTTTTAGAACATAGCTCTTTTTTTTAGTTTTCCTTTGATCTGTAACTTATTCCCCTTATTTGTTTTGTTTTAACAAAATAGCATGCTCAGCACATATCCTTTTGTTTTTTATTTTCACAGTTTTGTTTTTTGTTTAGATTACTGAAAAGAACAAACTTCGTAAAATTTAAAAACACTGTCGTAATATTTTGGATAATGAAAATAATCACTTTGATATTTGTGTGCGTTTTGTTTTAAGTATTTTTTAATCCTCCAGGCTACATTATTAGTATAGCTTTAAACTAGATATGGCTGATATAAAATATAAAGACGCAGCAATTTTTTTATCATGAAAACATAGATCTTTTTTGCTGGTTGTTTTAAAGTATACAAATATATCAGAAAGCAATAGGGTAAATAGTATTTCTTCAGTTGGTTAATATAAAATTGCAGCAATACAGTTTAATAACACACAAGTGTGATAGGGTTGAGTCAGTGTTAGGGATTATATTAGGGACATATGGATTATGGGATGGGGTTAGAGTAGTGTGATTCTACTAAATTCTAGCAAATATTTAATACCCTTGAATAGACCATGCTGGCTTTTAAAAAACAAAATAATGGAAAAAAAGAGCATAGTAGCTGTTGTCTTATTTTTCTAATGATTTAGCAGTTTTTTCTCTTAATGTTTTTATACAAAACAAGTTGTACAATAATAAAAACCTAAACTTTGCTTTTGACAGTCAAGTATTACTAATTTGTAAGTACAGCATTTATGGAGGTGCTACTGGAAGATATTTGGTTCTTTAGCTGTTTTTGTTTCTACTGTTTTGATTAAAGTCATGGTGGTGGTTTTCAAATCTCAACACAACTAAGAAGAGCACTACAACTTTGATAAAATCAGAGTTGGTGTGAGAATTGTGTTTGCTGGCAATAAAATGCCACATTAATAATCTAGAATATTTTTTTTAAAGTTGTAAAAATCTTAAAAATTAAAAAATAAAATTATTATTTGTAAGTAGAAAAAGCAATGCAATGCAAAAAAAAATTTACTAAAAATGTTATCATGGGGTGTTTTAAAAAAAAATCCACAAAATGAAAATTAAAAAGATTATTGGCTGAAGTTGATAAATTCTGTAGATGGAAAGATTGAAGAATGTTTACCATTTCACCAGCTCTTTAACTGCTCAGCCAAAGCGAAATTGTTTGTTACTGCTGCATGTCTTCCACCACAGCCATGTTTTTTTGGTTGGTTTTAAACCTCTGGATATGACATTCTGATAAGAAATTATTTTTGACTCCTCCAACTCCACCTTAGAGCTGAAGTTAATCAAGGATTGTGGCCTGCTTAAAGTTTTATTTTTTGATGTTATTGTTCTTACATTTTCTTGCAGGTTAATGGGCTGAGGACTATTGAACGGTTTCCAACACATCGCAAATTTGTTCCATCCCTGTCTCATGCTCAGCCTATGACCTAGTGGGCTTTCATCTTATTTCTTTTTTTTTTTTTTAATATTGTTTTTTTTTTTTAGTTTTAATCCCTTATTGTTTGTTAGAGAGAGAGAGTTTTATTTGCTTTATCAAGTCTTTTTATGTTAAGTTAGTGGCTATTTTTTGTTTCACATTTTAAAAATTTTGCTTAAATTTTTTTGGTTTCTTGTGTAGTTGGATGTGTAAGTTAAGGCAAGTTATAGTTATTGATGACAGTGGGTAAATTAGATTTTTAGAAGTTGCATGCACAGAATTTTTTTTAAATATAGATTTTACACAGATTACATTACAGATTAAATTTTTTAAATTAATAATTTTTAAATGAAAGCAAAAATAATTTATATCTGAGTATATACAAATTATTGCTAAGATTTAATATCATTTATTAGGAAAATCACAAGTGTGAATGGTAGACATTTTTTTTTACAATTTTATCCTTTATTTGAACTCTCTCTCTGTACCTCAAATTTATTTTTGGCATCTAAAAATTTTATTATGTAATAATTGTGCAGTACTTTTAATCACCTTATACAAAACTTGTGTTATTCATGACTAACACTGCTAAAAGGATGTATTGCAGATATCAGTTTTAATCTAATTAATTTTAACTTAGAAGATTGTCGCTATATTTTTTGTAATACCTTGAATTCATTGTTACTTGTCATTACTACTCATATATATCAGTGTTCTTATTTACTAATACTTAAAATGTACTTAAACTAGAGCCAACACTTTTTCAACTTGTATAAGATTTGATAACAGGACCTTTTCTACACTATTCATATAAAAGTAACACATTTGGTACTTAATTTGAAAAATAATTATCTAGAATGAACCTGCACAATTATCTAAAAATCTTATTGATTTCAGTTTTTTTTTTTTTGTTAAAGTGGGTTTAATATTTTGGATAAATAAATAGCATGTGTTTAATAAAGTAGGCATATATGTTCCCTAAAATGATTTCGGTTTGTAATTTAAGCTTTATTTTGTGATGTTTCACAACCCGGCTATGAAGTAGTTAGGTTAGAACCTGATTGTTGTAAATGATTAGTTTTATTTTTTAAAACTTTCTTTACTACAAAGAAATTAGAATCTTGAGAAAAATTTGGGTATTGATACATTCTTAAGTATGTTTCAAATGTTTTACTCAAGTTGTTTTAGTTTTTTCTATATTCGCTTCCTTTACTAACACAAATTACCTTGTTGATCTCTTTAGTTTGCACATTTTTATTTAACTTGTGTAATTAAATCTTTTCTCTTTTAATATAATAATTATAAAATTGTATTTTTTCCATGTTAATTTTTTTTTAAATATATGAATAAGCCATTTTATTTTACAGTACATGATCTTGCTGATATAAATAGCTTTTAAGATACATGTATAGTGTTGTTAATTAATGTCATTAGTAATCAGCTTGACACAATATAATTGAACCAATTTCTCTTTCAGATTCAGAAGAAGAAAAAAGACAAACCACTCCTCCGGCGCAAGTCAGAACTCCCCCACGACATGTCCATGATCAAAGCTCTAGAAACCCACAAACGCAGTGATGAGTTTTTAGTCACCTCATCAGAACAGAATTGATGTTAGCCTACATGTGGTAGTGGAGATGTATTTAACTGGGTTTTTTTTTAATTAACTTTTAAAAAGGACCCTGTGACTATTTTAATGGCTATTATCAGTCATGTTATTTAAAAATGTAAACTGTACTATATTTCTATCTCACAAACATTTTGTCACATTGCTGTGGAAGCAGAGGAGGTAAGAGAAATATAATCTCATTGTGAAAGGTGGTACAGTAATATTGGCCAAATAACCATGCAAAGTGTGTTAATGATCATTTAAATAATGCTATACTGACAGACAGCGCAACTAGCTTGTTTACCATTTATTAACTTATTTTAACCGCAGTCTTAATATTACAAATTGGAGTTTAATGTTCTATCGGTTACCACCATTTTCTTATTTAATTAACTAATCACTTAAAGAGATATCGTATTGTTACAGAGAATAGAATCATTGTAATTAACATCTGTGTTGTGCTAATAAAAATCAGCACCTATCACTAATATTTTTATAAAGATGTTATTTCATGCCTAGAGTAGAGATTCTAGACTTGGTCTATCAAGAAAGGTTTTTTTTTTTCAATATTTTAACCTAGCACATGCACCTGGAAGTTCCATATAGTGCCATTTTTAAAGATAAAGTTTTAGTTTTAAAATTGTTTTTTTAAACAGTCGTGTTGTTTTGAATTTAATGTGATCAAGTTAAGAATTATTTTCTTTTCAAGATGTTAATGTACTGAACTTACTGAAGGGCCATTTGTAGACTTTTTGTATAACAAAATATATCTAAGCTTGGAGGGAATATGATTCTCTTTTCACACTTGTTTGTAGTTTACTCAGAGTTATTTTTTTTTTCTGTATGTATTAAGAAAGTAATATTAAGGATTCTATGATTTTGGAGTAGAAAATATTTTAACGTTTTGATTACTTTTAATTTTTATTGTTATGCTATTGTAAATAGAGCTGAATAAACTTAAGAAATTAAACGTGATACATTTTTACCTTTATTATTGTACAGAGATGCATTTGGACAATATTTCTCTCATCACTAACATCAAAATCATCCAGTTTCTACTGAATTTCAGATGGATTTTCTTACTGTTATATTTCCAGTGCAGTAGTGTATCTTTTTCTTCCAGTGAAGCATAGTATATTTCTTGACTATTGTTATCTACTGTAACACATGTAATAATTAGCTTGAAATGTTTCCTCTAGCCCAGCCTAGAAGGAGTATCTTTAATTTCTGATTCTCTTTGCAACATGCACTTTTTTAAAGTGTTTATTTTCAGCATAATTTAACCACATCTTACAACCACTAGTATAAAATAAAATATTTACAAACATAGGTAAGCGTCTTTTTTTTTTTTGTTAAAATAATTTGCATATTAAAGTTTAACTTGTAACTATATAAAGCATTACAGTATTGTTTAGGTAAACATCCTATTTTACAAGGTCAAAAGCTCAAAGTCCAGTTTTCTGATTTTTGTTAGAGAAAATATAATGGGACCAATCCACGAATAGATTTTTATTGGAGTAAAGGAAATAGCATACAAGCTATTCATCTGGCTAAAAAAAATACTAGAATTTGTCTAAATTTTAAATTACATAAAATTTTACATCAATTTAAACCTTCTTTACTTAGAATAGATGCACATTCCACTAGTGTGATAATTGATATCAGTGTAGAAAATGCATAATTTTTTTAGTCGTGTTGGAATCATGATAACATGCAAAAACTCTGAAATGAATTGTTTTGGCTTGAAAAGTTAAGTGAAAATGGTAAGAGCCAAAATAACATAAATTACACAGATTTTGTGTAATTATTTTTCATCAACACAAAATATACTAAAAATAATTGTAGAATGTCTTCTATGCTGTATGTATTTTATTTTAAAAAAAAAGTAATTGGTTTTTTTTTTGTGTGCATGCTAAGTATAACTGAACACTTGTTCTGCATTTGACAAGGGGGTATTCATTTCTCATCTCACTGTACCTTGGTCATGAACATAGTCTTGATAGCAAGATGTTGCAAGCTTTAACACACTAACAAGCAACTTCGGTGTAATAATAACAATGTTAGCTCTTAGGAAATGTGTTTACAATGGTAAAATTCTTACATGTTCTGTTTTGCTTCTGTAGAAACAGTTGAAGACCTAATCTTATTATATTTTAATGTTTATGACATTTTTATGTGCTAATGAAATTGTTCTGGTCACTTGACTTCCCTTATTATTATTGTCAAATCTATTCCCATTTGTTATGATCTACCAGAAAAAAAAAAATTTAGTAGATGACCCTGTTGGTTAAATCTAACACCTGGGTGATAACTATAACTTTTATTTTTGCAAATTTTGTTTTTACTAAGTCCAACAATTTGTTTACAACGTTTACTGAATTGGAAAAAATCCAAATGGTTATCTCATAGCTGCCATAAAAATAATTGAACAGAAATACCCTGAGGCTGCCTATATCTAATTTCCTAAATAACTTGTATTATTAATTGCATAAAGTATAGTATTTATCAGTTATCTTTTGTTAGCCAGGAATGTTTGTGACTGAAATTAATACATGTTTGTATGATAATGTAGATTTGTTATGAATATCTCTCCATCTGAAATGATGAAATAAAACATTTGTTTTTACTATTGTCTCTGGTCTTATTACTATGTGAAACTATTCCTCTACAGCTTATCTAAATGGCATGATAAGAAGAGCACTTTCAAGTTGAATGTTACTGTTCATTTCCTGGTCTATAATAGAGCTCACTCAGCTCTAATGGGTACCTGACAAGTAAAGATTGATAGAAACTTTACAGTTAAAGAATAAGATTGAAATTAATGTGTTCCAATGGTGCACCAAAACATGCCAGATTAATATGAGACCTTGAAGTAGTAGTAGTAAAATCCATTTGAATGGTTGGTCCAGTGAAAATATATTCAACACAAAAAAAATCTACTCAAAACAAAGGTAGTGTTTCATTATCATTTTTACTAATTTTACACTGAACATTAAAAATTATTCAAATATACAGCATTTTACTTAGCTTTTGTTTATGGATCAACAAAAAATATTTTACACTATTTTCTAGTAATTATGAACTGAAGACAATCAAGTTTACATTCCATTCATTCATACAAAATTTTTACAAGAAAAAAAAAGACTTAAGTAAGAAAAAACCCACAGCCATGTACATATCGACAAACATTGCACAATTTGTGTTTGGTAAGGGTAAAAAACTAACAAAATCTAGCACAGAAAATAAAAACTTGCTAGACTGAACAGCTATAATGATCAATTTTTTTTTTTTGTAGTAAACCTAATGGCTTAAAACACTGGGGGAGGGGAGGAGGAAGAGGTAATTCTGATTTGACTAAGGATGTGCTATTCGGAAGGGTGAGAAATGTATGATGCATAATTGTGCCTTTTAAATAATAAAAATTATAAATATTTTAAGTTTTATAAGAATTTTGGTGATTTCAACCATGTTTTCAAATAAAATGGAATATTACAAAGGATCAACAAAGATGGCAAATAACTGCAAATTATTAATGAAATAGACCCTTAACTATTAACTCCTGGTAATAGAAATCTGGCTTTCATCTATGATTTTTTAATGTTAATACTTTGAAGCTATAATGTGTATTCATCACAACAAACATTCAACCAGTTTCTGGAAACTCAGCCACCCAGCTTGTTGCTTTTTCAGGTAAAGTTTCTTTGGACTCTTCACTTTTACTGTCTTGTACAGTATTGGGGTGTGATCTGTTGGAATTTTTAACAGTGCCAATGCGGTGTAAGACCTGTGTATGCCATTGCTCATCAGACAAGTTTTTAGCCCAATCAGGAATGCTTGCAGTTGGTAAGGAAAATCCGGACATTGCTTTTATAATATTCTGCTCATCCACTACTGAAACAAAACATAAGTAAACTTACAAGTAAATCGAAAATGCAAAAATTAACAATGTATCATATATGTATATATAATTCTCTTGATGGAGACCATAGAAAATACCAAGCAGCTTAGCCACCACCCTCATCCCCACCTGTCAGGTGAGCTGTGGTTCACCCCGAATGATTACAATCGTAGAGCCGGGTTAGTGACGGTTATTAGGGGCAGATAATTTAGTTTTTAAATGATTTGTAACTAAGGGGAGATATTAAGTTCCACTTGATATTTTCATTGTCGTCTGAAAATGGCTGCTTTCACTGGGCGGGGTGGGGGAGGCAGGGGAGTGGGGTAGTGTCGAATTCACAAATTATGAATTGTTGATAAGTAGAAAATAAAACAACTAGATAGCGGCGTATGCTACGTCGCGGGTCAGCTCGTATAATATTAATATGCTTATTTTTCTTAAGAATTAGATTTTTTTAAAATATTACTTTTTTTACCTGGATCACGTAAAATCTGACAATGTTCTTGTCGCTTCTGATTCCAAATTATATCATTGTTATCTCTAGGAAGTGTTGGAAGCTAAAATATAAATAATAATTTTGCTTTTTAAAAAAAAAATACATATACGGTAATACAGAATTTATTATTAAGGATAATATCTTGTAAGGATAATAGCTGATTGGGTAGTATTCAATTATAAAACTTTACCTGCATGTAAGAAGGAATTTTGCCATCTGGAAATTTGGCAAGGAATCCTGCAGGATATGTATTTCCCACCACCTTAACAGTGGGTGCTGCTGCACCAGCCTCTGAAGATAACACTGCCTCAGGTAGAGATTCTGAAGGTAAGTTTTCTCCAGGTGTCAGAGCTGTGTTGTGTTCTAATGTACTTTGGTAACTATCATCATCTGAATTCTCATCATCATCATCAGCTTCCTGTGGTAACAAGGAGTAGCCACCAAATGCGTTGTTCACAGCACTGTCATTATCATTATCCTCATCGCTAGAGTCAGATCCTCCATAAACTGGTAGGTTTGGGTTTGAAAAATTATTTATTTCAGAATCTTCTTTATTTGGTGGTTTATCCTGGTTTTCCTCAGGAATTGGTGCCATTTCTAAATCAAGTATATTTTTTTATCCAATTAAATCATGGTGTTGAACAACATGAGAATCAGCCGAGAATGTATGAGAAGAGTTGTAGACCCCTTGGTTGCTTAAAATTATTGCAACTTTATATTTTTCACCTGTAGATGAGAAGAAAAAAAACTTACTAAAACATGACAATCAACTGGGTTGATTTATTTAATTCAGATAGGCTTAATTGAATATTAAGGCCTATATTTATAATATTATACTGATAACAGCTAAAAAAAATTTCATAAAAAACATTTTAATAACAAGCTTTTATGTACTAATGCACTAAAAAGTAGAAAGTAAATTATAGATTACTATTTAAATAAATATAAAAAAAAGCGTGGTTCACTTTAGTATCTATTGGATACCTTTACTAATGTTTAAGAAGAGACCCACGCTTTTCTTTATAGTTATTTATAGTTATTTAAATAGTAGTCTATAATTTATTTTCTACTTTTTAGTGCAGTAGTACATAAAAGCTTGTTAATAAAACATTTTTTATGAATTTTTTTTTAGTACTTTACATGTTTTATTTACAATAGAATTGCATGACTAAAAAAATTCATAAAAAACGTTTTCTAAAAAGTAGAAAATAAATTATAGACTACTATTTAAATAACTATAAAGAAAAGCGTGGGTCACTTTAGTATCTATTGGATACCTTTACTAATGTTAAGGAAGACACCCACGCTTTTCTTTATAGTTATTTAAATAGTAGTCTATAATTTATTTTCTACTTTTTAGTGCATCATTACATAAAAGCTTGTTATTAAAACGTTTTTTATGAATTTTTTTTTCAGTACTTTACATGTTTTATTTACAATAGAGTTACATGACTAAAAACCATTGCGCGCCTACTGAACATCACGTTCAGTAGGCGCGCAATGGTTTTTGAATGCAGCCATTACGTGATGGCGAAGCAATTGAAGGTGATGACGCGTGTGGTGTGGTTGGCTAGACATGCCTACTAATTCGGTCCAAATTTTAATTAATTCATAAAAAATTAATTAGGCATCCAATTAAGTCAAATTTAGTTTCAGATTGCATTGTCTTCATGTCTTGACCCACGTGCCAACTGTGAATCGTATCGGTCAAGTAGAACTGTCCGAATTTTCACTCCTGCGTTTCCGTCTAGACAGACAGAGGAAGTGAGTTAAATAAAAGCTTGTAAAAACCATTGTGCGCCTATTGAACGTGATGAGGTGCTTTTGCCGTGATGACACGTGTGGATAGAACTGCCAACTAAATTGGTCAAAATTTTAATTAATTCGTAAAAAATTAAAAAGGTGACCAATTAAGTCAAATTTAATGTCACGATACATTGTCTTCATGTCTTGACCAACGTACCAATTACAAACCGTATCTGTCAGTTAGAAGTGCCTGCAATTTCGCTCTGCCGTTTTGATCTAGACAGACTGACGACAGAGGAAGTAAGTTAAATAAAAGCTTGTAAAAAGAAGTAGACATAGGCCAATCTAAAAATTTATGTAGGGCCTATAATAAAGGTAAACTAATGTTTAATAATAATGTGGTGGGCTTATAATGTGCCTAATAATTTATATTAATATATTTAGTTATAATATAAAGTTATTTAGGCCTAGGCTTTAACTCTAATACTTTAATTATTATTATATAATCCTAGGCCTAATTATTCAATTATTATAGGCAGTGTAATTTACCAATTTAGTTGGTAGTAGGCCTAGGCCTATAATAATATTACTATTATAATAAATTGGCCTATTAAATCAGGCATTGACAGGGGGCCTGCAAATAGTTATTTTTTAAATAATATTTTATTACTTTAGTTGGTGCTCTGTAAACTGTAAAAGCTTATTTGTACTGTAGTGTAGTACAGTAGACTAGATTCTAGTAAGTAATGTTATACCGAGGTAACTACAATTAGCTTCTAATTAATTATAATACTTTTGAATTAGGCCTACTTTTAATAGTGCCGTTGTCACAGTTTAGTCTAGATCTAGGAGTGCTCTGTCTGAATACTCTGAGAGTACTCAATACGAGTCATAGACTCTCTGTGAGTCTGATGTGACACCGCCCTCTCTACTCTACTTCTAGGTTCTAGAGCCTAGGGCCTAGCCTTGTCTAAAAATAAAAACCTGATAAGGCCTAAAATTTCACGATCAAGACCAAAGTCTAGATACGCACTAGATCTATTACCTATTTTAAAATTATTAATTTTTGCTGTTTAAAAAAAAATGTGTATGGAGATGCGTAGAATTTTAACTACTGAACTACACTACATAAATCTTAACATGCAGGATTATCTCTCTTTTTCCCGTCTTTTAAATTCGTTGTTTTACAGTTACACAAAAAAGAAATCGCCTTTTAAAAATAACATTCATTCTCCAACTACTTCATTAAACGGCACGAAACTGTATAGATAGGGGCCTCTTACTTATACAATATACTACTATTTTAACTCCAATAATTCAATGTAAGTTGATATTTAAAAAAAAAATGATTTGGGGGTCATCCATAAATTATGTCACGCCTTTTTGACGATTTTTACCTCCCCCCTCCCCTCCGCCACACGTCGTCACAAAAAACCAACCCCCCCCCCCCCTAAAATGACGTCACACCTCAGCATACAACCTCCCCTCAAAATTGCTGTTGAATTTTTATTGAAACATCGATATTTTTTTTCCAAAATCTTGTCAGAACTCTGTCAACATAGAGTATTTCGATCAATTCCTATTACAATTTATTAAAACCTTTTTCTAAAACGCGAAATAACGGCTAAAACTCGTTTCCTAACATTGCTTTTGTATATTAAATAAACCGGGAGTGATCTCCCCTAAACTTTCTCGAATATTTTTATATAAAATAACAGGGGATGGGAACTCGGGCTATAGACATGATTTTTAATCCATTTTAAATACTTAAAGTTTTAAAAATAGAATAAAATCTCGTAGACAAATTAATTGCACACCAAGTGAACGCGAAATAAAAAAGCGCATAATAATGCGCAATATTATTAGTACTTTTAAAATTTACATTAGTTTTTTGAGAAATCGGAAGTAGCGTAAATTACTACTTCCGGTCAACGGAAATTACTCAAAATTTAACAGAAGGTAGAGAATTAGATCTTTTACTTACATGTGAAATTTCATTTATCTATCTGAAATAGTACTCAAGTTATAGGCTTTTGAAAAATTCAAAGTAGAAAAAGTACAACTTCCGGTTGTCGGAAATCGCTCAAAAGTTGATACGGATCTACGATTTTGATATAATACTTATATATGAAATTTCATCAACCTAGCTGTAACGGTACTCAAGTTATCGTGTTTACACACGGACACACACACAGACACACAGACATACGGACAAGATTGCAAAATTATGTTTTTCCGTATATACGAGAAAGTAAAAAGTGTGACGTCACACCATCTGAACCCCCTTGCCCCCATCATCACAAAATTACGGACCCCCTACGAGTGTGACGTCATTTATGGACGACCCCTTGATCATAAGAAATATTTGTCTACATTTAAAAAATACTAGATCTATTTATTTTATAATTAAAATTTAGGCCCATAGGCCTTGTATTTTTATTTATAGTATACTATATTATGTCGTCCTATGACTTATGAATAAACCATAATAGAGGTCAAGAATATAGTAGTTAATTGTTCCAAAGGTGTTTAATTTACTTTATTATAATCGTTCATAAATAAATTAATTTGGATTTTTATTTTAAAACACCGTTGTCAACAAAGACAATTTTCCTGCAAAGTTCTTTTTCCGTAACTATTTCCGATAGAACTTTATACTTTCTACTTAGGTACTCTTCATAGTGAACTTAGTGACCTCTGCTTCCTAGTTCTAGATTATAGATTAGATTTGTCTAGTATACCGTCCATCGAAGTTAAAGATTTGCCGTGTTGGTTGTGGCAAATTTGTTTTTAGCTTATATTGGTTCTAGAACTATAATCTAAATACATAAATATATATCTTTATCAAGAACTAGTCTAGTAGAGCTTTTAATTTTCAACCATGGGAACTAGATCTTCAATGCTCCAGGAAGCAGAAATAACCGAAATTCAGAAGGAAACAGGCTGTAAGTTAGCAAAGTCTAGTCTAGTGTAGCTAGCTGTAGTTAGGCCCATTCAATATTCATTATATAGATATAGTCTAGATCTAGTCTAGATCTAGAGAATCTAGTATTAATTTTTAAAAAATTAGGCCTAGGGCCTAAGTTAAATGATTTATGTCATGAATATAGAATCTAGTTTTTTCTACAGTACATTCTAGTAATTCTACACATCTAGATGATGATAGGCCCTAACTAAAAAAGGTAATCTATCGTTTTGGGTACGTAAAATCGCCCGCGGCTATTTATGTACGAAAACGTTACCTCATTGTCAAGGCTTTAATTAGGGTTATCGGCATCCGCCGAGTTCGCGGTAAAAACATGACCCGAAATCGCCCATTACTTTCTGATACCGGACCCACGAGATTTGGTTTTGCATACTAATAAGTTTTTAATTTATGGTAATTAATTAAGTTTAAAAGGTCATTTCCTAAGGTTAATTAAAAAGTAGAGTGGTTGTCCCTTAGTTTTAATGGCTTTGCGACCTGATTGCATGCTGTCTCTGCTTTGGTCTTCCCTCTGTATCAAGGTTAGTTTCAAATACGTTGGAATCTCGATTTTTTAAAAGATTCCTCTAGATGAGAGTAGATTACTGATCAGATATATCTTAAGTAATTGGAAATGAAATTTGTTTTTGGATATTTTGACTCCGACATTAGTTATACCCCTCCGAACGTAGTCACTGTATGTAGGTCACGCTGCCACCATTGTTATATTTTTTCATCCCGATCTTCCTGCCTTTAAGTTTGATCAACTAATAACAGCATTCTTATGGCATGTGCAAACAAATCTAATTTTTTATTTCAAAATATATTTACATACCCATCTTTAATTTTTTCAGCTCTAGTTCTAGTTTTGCAGAATATGTTTTTCCTAAAAATCCAATTTTGTCAGACTAGACTAGACTGACAAGAGTCAGACCTAGATCTAGGTTACCTGTCTGTTGCTATACTATACACTAACATTGTGCTAACTGTAATTTTAAGTATTAAAGTTCTACTTACCCTTAGATATAGTTATATGCTGAAAATCAGAATCCATACACAATTCACACATAAAAACATTGATCTGATAACTTCATTTCACTTATTACAAAATGGCTTTTATATGGGCTCTACTTCACCTGCCCAAAATAACAAGGCAGTTATAGACACATTACAGTGTTCAAGTCATTTACTTTAGATTTCTGACTATGGAGTTCTTTCATTCACTGTATTTATATAAAATATTGCTTTAGAAACATTTTCATACTTGCGCAGCAGTTTTATAACAAAATGGCTTAAAGATGGACTCTACTTCACCTGCCCAAAATAATGAGGCAATTATATGCACATAACAGTGTTCAAGTCATTTACTTTAGATTTCTAACTTTGTAGTTCTTTCATTTGCTGTATTTATATAAAATATGGCTTTAGAAACATTTTCATATTTGCGCAGCACACAGTTTTTTGGGGTTATGGGAGGAAGCCAACACAAAAATATAAGTTCTGTATTATTTTTATTAATTTCAACAGCATTTACAAGTTCTATATATCATTCTAGTTAAACTCTGCAAATATGAACAAAATACAACTGCAAGTAAAATAACTATGCTCAATTTATTCAGGTATACCATGACTTGTCACAATTGGCCAATGCAAAAGTAAGGGGATTCCACCCCTCACAAAAAAATTCGCTAAAAAAAAACTATTTGAGCTAGACAGAAAATCTTTTTTGTTTTGTTTTCATATAGTTGAGCTCTACAAGAATATGTAATTTTTATTTTTATATGATGATTAGTGTTTTTTTACCTAAATCCCTACTTTAATAGAAGTATATTGTCATACTTGTGTGTCAAATATTATAGATAAATGAATAATAAACCTAAATCAATGGCTAAATATATCAATACAGGCCAGAAATTAACTTTAAACAGCAGTGTCTGAGAGCAAGATTTGCTATATAAACAGCAGCCATTTGTAAAATAGAGTGGCTTCCCCCTGAATCTGGCGCTATAAAACTTAGACAAGATGGCTGCTATAGTAAATGAGCATGGTTGCATCTGTTGGAAACATCGCTAGTCTTCATTTATTACGGAAAAGTTTTAATTCAATTGTTTAAAAACAGGTACATAAATGAATCAAGGAAACATTTTTGAATTTTTTAAAACATAAATCTTCCTCAAAATGTGAAATAATTATTAAAATTTAAGGAGTCACCTGTTTTTCACATTACAAATCGCGGGCGATTTTACGTACCCAAAACGATAGATTACCCTAAAAAATCTCTGATCAGATAGGCCTAATAGATCTAGATCTAGTAAAATCTAGTATAGGCCTAGGCCTAGTGAACTTTACTCATTTAGTGACATTTTTAGCAGTCATAAAACTCTTTTGACTTGACTCTCTAGTAGTCTCTAGCAATTTATATAGGCCGATTCAAGCCGGAAAAAGATACGCACGCGCAATGGAGAGAAACTACGACTTTACTTCATCGCGATATTTTCGGTGGTACGGCGCATGCATGTGTTCACAAACTAACTGCTGAACTATCTTTTGCCGACCAAATGGAGACACTGGGGCGAAAAATCTTTTTTCGAGTAGTCACTTTGATTTATTATTATTAGCCTAGTAATTAGGCCTAATTAAAAACTAATTGTGTTTTTACTCATTTTCAGTTTCAAGCAACCAAATTGTTAGATTATACAGCAGATTTACCAACCTGGATAAAAGTGACCAAGGTTTTCTAAGGTAGTTTTAACTAAGTTTTATGATACATTTTATTAGATTATTAGTCTTACTTATACTTAGACCAAGGCCTAAATTTTTTTTTTTAAATTCTTTTTAACTAGCCTATTGTGAATGTCTACAGTCTCGATCTACACATTTTAATCACTTTCTTTGAAATTGTGTGTATGATGATTGTTAAGAATTGTTTTTTTAAGTGGATAGTGCGAGTCACACCTGAGGAATAATAATGTGATGGTTCATCATCAAGTCAATACATATGTAAATTAGGTATTTCTGTTAAGCTTTTAATTTAATTTTTTCATTTAACTTTGCAGAAGAGCAGATTTTTTGAGAATACCAGAACTGGCTATTAATCCGTTAGGAGATAGAATAGTCCATGCATTTTTTAAAGAGAGGTAAATCAGGCAACTTTGTTTAATTAATCTGTTTAGAATATAAATACGCCCTTTCTGTTATCAGTCTCTTTTATATTTAAGTAACATTTAAGCTGAGTATGTTTTATTACCGTTAAATAGTGTAGCTTTTTTCTACTTAAAATGTTTTTTTCTTCTTAAAAATTCTAGCAACTCTGATTCTGTGAATTTTCGAGACTTTATGAGAGTTCTGGCTCGCTTCAGACCTGTTAAAAAGAATGCACAGAAAAATAAGCTGAATGACAGAGAAGAAAAACTAAAATGTAAAGCTTGCTTCATTATTTTAGCACCATTTTATTTTACGAAAGATTTTATTTTTTACGTATTAAATTACTTTAAATACATGGTTTGAATTTTTTAAAATCAACAGTTGCATTTAAGATGTATGACCTAGATGGGGATGACATGATCTCAAGAGATGAACTTTTGAATGTGCTGCACATGATGGTCGGAGCAAATATTTCTGATCAACAGGTATCTTTTTTTTTTTTTGTAAGATCATACTTAAGTGTGTGGCTTTTTCATGAACGCATTTTTTTAAGCAGTCAAAAATATTCTTAAAAATACTATCTTATATATTACGTAATTTACTTTTTCTTTGTTTAGATATGTAAGTTATTTTAGAAATATGGCACAGTAATTTTTTTTAAATGGTTTTTTTAAAATTGTATTGTTGTTAATAAATAAAGCATCTATAATGTGAAAAGCAGCACAATAATATATTTTTAAAATATCATTCAAATTAAATCTAGATAAAGCATGTTTTTTTTCCCAGTTCTTCATCAGATTTTAAAAGTAACAAGTTTGTTAACTTTCATTATCTGGTTTTTAAGAAGAATAATACATTTAATATCAGGTTTAATAATTTTTAAAATTGTATTTTTTTTTCAGCTTGAAAGTATTGCAGACCGTACCATTAGTGAAGTTGACCTAGACTGTGATCAGAATATATCCTTTTCAGAATTTGTTAAGGTAAGCGTGTTTCTCTTTCTTTTTATTTAACTGGACCTAAAACAAATTGATTTAAAAAAATAAATGTTTTTTTTTCTCACACAGGCAATGGAACGAGTAGATGTAGAGCAGAAAATGAGCATTCGTTTCTTGAACTAGGTCTTATACTAAAACCCAGTAAATTATTGTGATACAAAATCTGAATAGATTTTTTATGCTTTGGTTGTTTTTTTCTGTTACAAATGAATTCTCTACTACTACATAAAATGCATACATGCAGTGCAAATAAAATATTTTTAAAAATTATATGAGAACTGATGTATAGGTATTGAAATTAATGTATACATTTATTCAAACAATTGTTGACATTTAAAGATGCAGAATTGAAAAAAGGACAGACTTTTTTTTTTACAATGTACAAGTTGGATTTCATTTAAGTTATTCATTGTACCTTTTCACTGACTTATTTTTTTACTTTATCTACTTTATATCCAGTTTTATTTTGTGCACAAATTTCAAATTAATTGAATAACATTCCTTTTATTCTTAAATTATTTTGTAAAGTTTTGAAAAATATTGTCCTTTTTAAAAATAATTAAGTAGCTTTTCAAAAAAAAAAAAATAAGAATCCCTAAAATATTTTGCTAGTTTCCTTTTATTTTAATGTTGTGTATATGGACCTATTCTAGTTTGGACAATTTGTGCTACTAACCACTAGAGCTTTAAAATAATTTATGTAAGTGTAGATTGCTGTAATTTAAATTGTCTCTTTACCCTGAGTACCAACAAGTGTTATCAAACCTAAATTGATAGTGTGGTGTTTAAATGCAATTTCTTTGAACATAATTTTAAAAAGTATGTAAGCTTATTTTGTTGCTTTTTAAAAAAAAAATAAAGCTAGTCATTATTTCAAGATTAAGTACATTTTTTTTTTGTTGAACTAATTTATAATTGCATTACATTCTTCTCTGGTTCATTGTTTATTACAACAGGTCTGACTACTAACAATGCATGCGGAAGATACAATTTAAATTGTTATATTTTTACTTATAAGAAGTATCAGTGTGTTTTTATTGGTAGGTTCTTTGTTAATTCTTTGTTTTCTTGTAACTGTATATTAAAAATAATCTTTCTTTGTATCAAAGCATGCAGAAGTGTAAATAAATATTAACAAGATATTTGGGTGGTCATATTACAGGATGTTATATGCACAGTATTCTTGATTTCTATTCAAGACAAAATGGTTTTTAACTTATGTGTTATTTCAAGTTGAAACATCAAAATACTTACAAGTTGTTTTTATAGTTATTATAGGTATAAAAATATTTATATAGCAGTGATGACAATGTTGATATTTCATAATTTTGTATTAGAAAATTGCAAAATTTTAAGTTGATAGGGTAAGTTTTGTATTGTTATTCTCAATAGAAATGATATTTTCATAATAAAAAAAAGTATTTTCCTTAAATTTATAAAATTTCAATGTTACTTCAAATTTTTTCTGAGTTCTCATTACGAAAAATAGTCTACTATAAGTGAAAGGATGTTTATGGTTAAGTAAGAAAATTTAGCCATTCATGTTAAGTTTTGTCTTTGTCTCAATATCCACGAATGACCAGAATGCATTTTGTTTAAACTATTAGAAAATTTTTTTTTACAAATGATGAAAATTGTTTAAAGCAATTATAATGATCAATTTGTATTTTCAACTAGATCTAGTTGGACCTAATTACCTTTTGTATGCATGCAATGTGAAAATAATTGCATTTAGGGCTGAAATTAATAGTGTAAATGAGAAAGTAACTTGTTAATCTAGAATTGTATATAAAGAAGTACCAGATGAAGGAGGAGTGATTAAAATTTCAAACCATCACAATTTTGTGATAACTGCCATGGCTTTATTTATGTTATACTTTAAAATAAAATAAAAACTCCATTAAAAATGTCTTGTTTGGTTTATAATGAAAACAGTGAACACAATGGCTAAAATATTTTTTTTTAATAACTAAAAAAAAGAAACCAACTGAAAATGATAGTCACAATTGTATAATTTACAGAGAACATTAAATTATAACAAACATTTGCCTGCTGAACAGAATTTGTTTAGTGATGTTTGGCTGATACAAGTTGAAACTGTACAAGTTTTTTTTTCCAGATAAAGCGCCATAAATAAATTAAACACAAGGATAAGACTTTTTGAGAAGCTAAATGGTAACAAAGTTTAGATGCAATCAACTTAAGGCTGTGTGGATAAAATATTTTTTTTTATACAGTACCAGTACAAAATGCAGAAGAGATTTGTGTTCCACTGTTATGATCCCTCTATTACCCTTTTTAAAATTATTTTTCCTCATCCTGCCATCTCACAGCCACATATTTAAATAAAATATCTGCCAAAAATTAAAGGATATTGCTGTAAAAAAGAAATCGTTCTCCAAAAACATTGCACAATTCATAATTTTTGTAATTATCCTGTGAAGCTAGCAACTCCTAATACCAACTTTAATTGCCATGCTAGAACTTCTCCAGTAAATGTTTTTGTTAAAACATTATTTTACACATGCATTTACACACTCATTCACACCTTTTTAAATTAAGTTCTCTAATACTATTTCAAATGTTCCACAAAAAGAAAAATTCAATATTTTATATCCGTTCTGATGAGCACGATAAACATGCTTGGTCTGGGGGCGGGGCGACAAAATATGACTAAATTAATGTGACGGCTCGGGCTCTCACTTCCAGCTCATGTTTTGATGACAAGATTGGGGCCGGCAGGCTCGGGGCAACTTGAGGGATCGGCTCATTTCAGGAGGAACTTGACACTGCCAGTTTCTTGAGGTGATCCATAAATACTTGAAGGCTGACGTCATCTGTTAAAACTGGGACAGAACCATCCTGGAGAGACAAAGATAAACTTATGAGGGACTGTGCTAACCTAGTGTTTAAAACTGAAGTTTCAAGAACAGACATTTACTCCAGAGTTGGGCATTGAAAACTTCCATGTGAAGGAGGTGGGGGTGTAATGGTTAAAGTATATAAATTTAATATTTTTACAAATTTTGCCTGGGGTTGGGGGTACTCCTTTAGAGAGGTGTCTAAAAGATTCAGTCCATGTCTGTAATTGTGATAGATGTCACCCTAGTTATACAGGGTTATATGTGTATCAGTGCCTATGTTTATTTGACTAGCTAAACAGGCCAAAACCTTCCTGTTGATTGTGAGACAATCATAGAACAGGCTGTATAGTACAAAACAACATATACACAGTTGCGCCTTTAACCCATTACAGTTTGTCACTTTAAAACTTGATGAAATAGTAGTGAACAAAAAAATTGGATGTTAGTAGTAGTTAAACCGAAAGAAAGCTTATCTTTCAGGATTTACGTTGATATTTAAAATAATTTCTTGTTTAAAAGTAATATCTACAATAACAAATGATTTTTAATGTTGGACATGAGTTAATTATCATGAGATTGGTTGAGAGGAGAATTTGTAAATACTTCAATAATTAAACCTGATTTCAAATGGAGAGATTTAACTTAAAAATTGGACACGAGATGGTTAAAAAACAAAAGCTATAGGGACTTTGAACCCTTTTTTCCAATACAGGTCATACTTCAAATCACAATATTTAAATAACAGAGTTCTATAATTCAGTGATACATACAACTTTACACAAAACTAATAATACAACTTTGTTTAGAAATAAATGGGGCTTTACCAATACTTTATACCTTTGCCACATAAAAAAACAAAACAACCAACACCTTTAATGATGATGACAACACTGGCAAATGCAGTTCAAGTTTGCATTTGTTCCAATTTAAATAATATGATGACTTGATGGGTATAGAGAGACATGCAGTATCCAGTTTGTTTAATTTTAAAAGACTACTCTACAGATATGTTCTCCATAACCCAGACAGACAGATAAATTATGCAGCAACCTACAGATATCTTTAAAAAAAATCTATACATTCGTCTTAAATACTAAAACAAAATGGTTACTTTTACAGCATATAATAAGGAAATTTTTTTGTTCTAGAAGTAGTAGAAGGTAGAAAAAAAAATTATTATAAATAGTCTTAATTTTTTTAAAAAGACTGCTTCAACTGTGTAGCCTGTTTATCATTATATGTAACTTAAGGACGAGGAATATTTGTGAAATTTTAAACCTGTCATTTAAAACATTGATTTCTAAACCCTGATTATTAATGTTATTCATTCAAATTCCTGCTTTTCATATTCTCAATACATCAACATATTTAAATCTAGTTAATCTTTCACTTTTGGCATCCCCATTATTAAAATTGGCAGCCCTAAACTAATTTTTAACCTCCCCAAAATTTATATTTGCTGCATAATTTAGTAGAAAAGGGGTTTTAAGAAAAATCATAAGAATAGAAAATAAAAATGTTGCCATAATTACTCCAGATTCTGGTCCACCACTCACGACAATCTGATGTTTACAAGGTTTATGAAAAAAGTGAATCATTATCATTCTTTTAATGAAACAATAAAGCTGTGGATGAAAACTAGGATCTGTACAGGTCATCAAGCTTAGCAGTAATAACTCAGCAGCTTTAGTTAGTGTAGGCATATCACATCCAAGTGTATCGGGGCTTATAAATTAGGCAACATCTTGCATTTGTTTCAAGGCAAATTAATTGACAACAACTATTTTGTTTGAGTTTGCAGTGTGCTACTAAAAGAAGAAAGAATCTACGGCTAATAAAGATAAGATGGTGAGTAAATGATAGGGGAGTCAAGGGCCATCTTTGAGAATGGATATTTTAGTTTGATAGCTTGTCTTGTAAAAGCTAAAATTTGGCTGATAAAGCCACATACAGGCGCGTTAATATAATAAATAAACCAGAAAAAAAGATGGCATTACCTGTCCTCCAAAGCCATACATGTTGTTGTGTGTTTGAGATGGGTTCACTTTAGACAATAAGAATCTTGCCTGGAATAGTATAAAAATAAAATATTGTTTAAATTAGAAATATTTTATTTTGTTAATTCCCTATTTTTTATTTTCCATTTGTACAGTAAAGCTATTGGTAACTAACAGTAGCTGTAATCCATAACCCATCTTACTAATTTGTGTTATACATCTTAGACGTGAAACAGCTGATATAATTATTTTTTTTTACAAATCCCATTGAAGGATAGCAATTTATTTCCTTAGTATATACTATTGTATAGGCTTTGTTTCCAAACACAATCTTATAATTGACAGTAGTGTATGACAGCTTGTTATATGAAAATGTATATAAATACATCAACCCTACATAAAAATACGCCACAAACCCTATAGAAATGATTATACCTCCACCATACCTCACCTAAAGTGATTCACCATATCTAACAAAAGTAGCTCCATCAACCAACCCTACATAAACTACTCCACAAACCAACCCTACGTAAACTACTTCACCAACCAACCCTACATAAAATGAACCACCAACCCAATATAAAATACTCCACCAACCAACCCTACATAAAATGAACCACCAACCAACCCTACATAAAATGAACCACCAACCAACCCTACATAAAATGAACCACCAACCAACCCTACATAAAATGAACCACCAACCCAATATAAAATACTCCACCAACCAACCCTACATAAAATGAACCACCAACCCCACATAAAATGAACCACCAACCCTACATAAAATGAACCACCAACCCCATAAAATGAACCACAACCCAACCCTACATAAAATGAACCGCCAACCCTACCTGGGATGCTCCAGCCTCTGTAACAATATATCTTGGCATAGGGAACCGTGTCTGTAAAATTTCTTGAGCATCATCCAAAGGTGCTTGCAAGAGCTGCTTCAGATTTTCATATTCAGGCATGTCTTGGTAACCCTGTGCTTTCCACTGTGCTATAGTCTGGAATAAATAATAAACCCTCCAACACTTAGTCTGGCATACAAGGGAGGAAGTACTACTCTAAGAACTGTAGCAAAATTAACTATATTTTAAGGATCATCCTAAAATAAGAAACATATTTAAAAATTCGCACAGGAAATTCTATTTTACGAACAAAAGAAATCCTCGTAGAGAATTAACAGATTATCGTTTATTTTTTTAATATGACATAAAAAAAAATTCAAAACTGCTAATACTAAATATACCATAATGTATTCGCATTTTATAAAAACAGTAGCAATACTCAATGTATTAAAAACTGTATCCACACAAGCTTAAGAAAATTACCAGACAAAGTGTTGTACCATACCTCTCCATGATAGATTAGAATATGGAAGAATGTATCCATGAGTAGAATTTTATCTGCTTGTAAACTGCTGCTATCTAAAAGGACTGGCTGATTTGGGGGTAGAAAGGTAGAGAATATACATCTTAACAGTTTTAAAAGTCATATGTTAATTTTTTAAATGTCTTGATGAAACAATCTTTAATGCCTAACAATGGCATGCAGGTTGTTAAAAAAATGGTATCTACCTCAGGAGGACCATGAAAAGAGTAAGAGTACAGAATTGGCTGAATCATAATCAGTGACTGGGTTAAGTCTTCCACGTTTAACATATGCCTGGAAGGGAGATAAATACATGATTAAGGGAAGTAAACAACACAGCTGGAACAAAATGTTGGTCTAAAATAAAGTTTCTTAAAAATTAACTGTTTAAAAAACACATTTTTAAAATCCAAATAAAATAATGTTTCATAAAATCAGTAATACACTGTGATCATTTGTAATAAATCTCTGGTTTTAAACTATAACCAGGTTGTCTAGACATATCTTCGAGTCTGTGTGGCAGATTTGTCATTTCAGTAATTCCCCGCTCATTAAAAATGCTTTATTCTTTCTGCAGCCCTTTGCTCCACAGAGGCTTCAAAAGTCAAGTAAGTCATTTTTTCTCTACTTTAAGTTAAACCAAAATAATTTTATAGAGATATTGGCGCAGAGTCAAGTACTGAAATATTGCGGCCAGGATATACTCTCAAAAAAGAATTCATCCATGCAAGACTATTTCTTTTTGTTATAGAAAGTTACAACTAAATCATTTTGCATTGATTCATATAGCGCACAGTGTGCTAAATGAAAGAACCCAGTCACCTGTAATAGGAAGTTTCATCTGGGCTGTTGTTAAACACTTGCAGGAACTGTGATCTTCTCAGGTGGAACATGAATTGTGGGTAGAGGGAGAAATTTTCTGTAAATCTAAAAGAGTTCGGGTCATCCTTGTTGTAGTCTCCAAACTTCTGGCACTGAGATGGGAGAAAACATATGTTATTAATGCTATAACAGTCATGTCACATATATACCAAAACAAACAATTGTTAATTATAAAGAAGAGAGACGGAAAAAAATACTTCATTAATCAAATAATAGTCATACTAATGACAAAACAAACAATAGTTTAATATAAAGCTAAAAACAAATGAAAAACTGAGTTCAAAGTAATTCAATGTTGAAATTTCTAGCTGACTTGGTTGAAAAAAAAATACATTATAAATAATTCAATATTTAATCTCTCTTTCTTAAATGTGCTAAATGGCTGACTTTTAAAAGAAATGTATAAAGATTTCTTAATGTTGTGGAAATACTTGAACTTTACAGCAATAAAATATTATGTTGTTGATCAGGTCACTAAAACCAAGTTCTAAGGGTAAAAAATTTACCAGTTGTATAAGCAAACAAACTGAATCAGGTATGTAAAACTGTTGCAAACCGGACTACGATGTTGCCGTCCGGTTGCTTAGTCGCCGGCCGAATACGTTGCTGACACTGGCTCGGGCACTAGCCAATAAGGCAGTCGTTGTCTAGGGGTATTTAATTATTCTACCCGAGTCAGCTACAGTGAAGTAATCAACGGAACAGGAGACCTTCTTAGTTTGTGCTGTTTATTAATTCCCTGAATGCCTGTTCTGCTGAGCGAGGCTTCCCCTAACCGCTAACGTCGGGAGCGCTTGTGCGAGAGAGAGAGAGACTAACTAACCTGCCTGTATTTATACCCCTGTCTTAACCCCCTAGCTGTTCCCACGGGACAATGAGCTCAGAACATGTGACCTAACAAATTTTCCCCCCTGGCGCTAACAACCCTGGCTACTGGTCAGTATAAAGACTACTATTGTCCTGTCAGAGCGGTCAGTCTCCTTTGAACATGTCACCTATTGTCCATCCCTACTGTGTACCCTGTAATTATCTAGTGAATAGGTGTTTGTGGAATTCTGACCTAACAAAAACCAAGTTCGAAGAGTAAAAAATTTACCAGTCGTATAAGCATATGAACTGAATCAGGTATGTAAAACCAAGTTCGAAGAGTAAAAAAATTTTACCAGTCGTATAAGCATACGATCCAGCCATCTCAGGACATCCGGGCCATCATCTGTCTCTGCCCTGTACACAGCTATTCTGGCCATCATGACTGCGGCCGCCTCTTGGTCAAAACCAGCAGAAATGTGTTGAAGATTGGCACTAGCATCTGCCCAGCTAAGAAAAACAGTAAGATTATTTAAATTTTTTTGTCTTTAAAGCTTGGGTACAAAAATGCACTATATACACTTTTTTTAGTTACAAAATGCTACACTAGTCAGATGGTAATGGTGACTCTAACCATTCTCTCCCCACTAGAGTGCTGATACTGTGATATAAACTGAGTCACACAATAATCCAGTGGTTCTTAACATTTTTGGATTTACAGAACCCCCACCAGTTACATAAGCACATTCAACGAACCCTTCTTAATAGCTCTATCGTCCGCACTGACAAAATCAGATTGTTAATCATATGAGTCAGGTGTCTGTGTTTATCTCACCGAACCCCTGGGGTTTGATGGAACCCAGTCTGAGAATCACCGACAATACGAATGACCCCTCACCTTCTAGCCACAGTGCTGACTCTAACCCTTCTCTCCCCACTAGAGTGCTGGTACTGTGTTATAAACTGTATGTAGCCTCTACCACCTTGAGGTATTGGGGCATTATGCTGAAAGGCAATGTAGGCATTGGTCAACACATGAAAAACGTGCATATTAATTTGTGAATAAGTTAAATAAATACCACACCAGGGTCATTTAAAAAAACAACACCTCGTCTGATTTCTATTTTTTTTTTACCTTTTAACATGCTAAACATCACCACACATAATAAAGGTCTTAGAAGAAATTTATTACAAAAATTACAATCAATAAAGCATTTATATTTCAGTGTAGTATACAATGTTATAAAATTTTAGGGTCCTGTCACCCCTCACCACATTTCATTTTTATTTTACAAGAAATCATTTCTAATATTTTAGATGCACGTAGTGCTTACACCGGGAGGGGGGATAGACTTTCTTCCGAAGAGATGCCTGAAAGAAACTCTGTATGTAAGGGTTGTCACCTCTGCAGCATTCTCACCTGATTCACAACTTCAAAACAAACTGCCAGCGACGTATTGGGGTAGAGGCCACACAACTTCCACTGGCACGTCCCACCCAAGCCAATCTCCGTGTCTGACACAGCAGGACCTTTCACCCCCAGGGAGACACAGGGGCCAATAGCGCCAGACACCTTCAGCTCTCTTGATGTCTGGAATATTCAAAGATAAAACAAGTTAGTAGAGGGGGAAAAAATGCATGGCCTGCTTTCTACAAGAATTGTAAAAAACTTTCATGAGTGGTACAAAAGATACATGGCAAATTACAAGTAAAAATTATTTTCATAAATGTGCTAGAATGAGAAAGCTTCTAAGCAAGAAAGCAACAGTAGAAAATGTACACAACTGCGCTTGACTTGATGCTTAGAAATATCAATTTAGATTTTAAACTAGTCCCTTTATAGCCATTGAGTAGCATAGAGATGCAGAAAGAATAATGTAATATATTACTTTAATGACATATTTCCTGCACTGACTCAAAGATATGTCTAGACAACATGGTTATAGTTTTACACCAGAGATTCATTACAATTTATCACAGTGTATTAGTGATTTTATGAAACATTGACTTTGAATTTTTTCAAAATATAAAAAAATTATTAATATTGGGTAAAATTACATACTTCTTACATGAAATACACAGTGTGATAGTTTAAACCTGTAATAAAAACTAACCTTGATTTCTAAAGTAGCGCCAAAAGCCATTTTAAATTCCCCTTTCTGGTCTTTGGCAAAGACTCTTTGGAAAGTCTGCTTGAACAGTGATGTGTTGAATGAGTCTCCCATCACCATGTGACCTCTGCAAAGGTTAATTACCTTACATCATTGACCAATCTTAAATTTACAGGTTCAAGCTTAATTACTTCAGATCATTTACCTATCTTAAACATACAACTTCCATTTTCACAAAAATGAAAAAAAAAAAAAAAAAACCCACTAAAATCTTAAGAATCCTTTACTAAAATGACAGACAATAGTGCTAATGAACATTTCTAAGACACTGGAATATGAAAGGATTGTGTGCTTAGCTTATTGTCTAACTGCCTTGTTCAACCTTTTTGTGGACTTAAGATTAGGACAACTCAAGACTTGTAAGTTAGCAAATGAAAATTGAATTTAAAAAAAAAATGAGGCAGTTAAACCTAAGCCAACATTAGCTAGTACAATAACACCCACCCTGTGTAGGTTGGACAAAACTTCATTTCATGCAGACCAGTCTGGTCCAGGGCACAGGCATAAATGTCTATTATATGTCCATTGCCAGCTGCTCTGTTAGCCAGGCCTTCATAGTGCTGAAAGAATAAATGGACACCAGGGTCGTTAAGGCTCTCTCAATAGTAATTTAAAAAAAAAAAGGTTCTATAACTTCTGATATGGTAAAAGTCATCTTATTGATATTTCAACTTATTGAAGACTAACACAGTATGTCGCCTTTTTAGTGAAAGTAATGTATGTTTATACTTAGATTGACAATAATTTAAGCTACCAAAGCATATTAATTAAATAGAAAACTAGAATGAAAATATTTTTGAAATGTAAAAACATATTTTGCACTATTTGAATCTGGGAATAAGATTTCTACTATAAAGTTAATATTTCCTACCAGTGTTCTTTTAACTACCAGTATTTTTTTACAACTACCAGTATTCCTACAACTACAAGCATAGATGATACTGAAAATATTAGGGCTACCTTCATGCCTTTCTTCATGTACTTGCAGTTGTCTTTCTCAATGTCGTGGTGGGACCTGATGGGGTGCTTGAGCTCATCATCCACAACCATACCTGGGCCCTGGGTGCAGGGGCCACCCATAAACAGCATGATGCGTGCACCTGTGTTGGGGAAGGTGCACTGGTGGCAGGGAGAAGACACAGGCAATTAATCGGTGTCAAAGTTCAAAGTTTTTTATACATATTATAATTTTCAGATGGTTACATTTTAAATTGTCTATGTAGAATGGGTACAGATGAATATTGATGAAAGTAGAAATGAACATGAGAGAAAAAAAAAACAACTAGACTTCTTCTTTTCTAATTGTAATGTTGGATACGATTTCCTCCAACAAATATAAGTATTACACATCAACACTTTTATATGCTATATGGTCAGCCTGCTTTTGTTTCTGGATTCTCTTCCATAGTCTCAGTACACCCAAAAGCAGTAGTTGTTAGATTTTCGAGGTTTTCTCTCCTAGATGGGTTGCCATTCACAGCTAGTAAGCCTCATCTGAACGAGGGTTTGAACACAGGACTTTTCAGTTTAGCAGCCATGAGCTTTAACCAGCCTGACAATGTTGACCCACAAATGGACTGATTGAAAGGGAAATGTACTCACTTCAAGTAACCCAACAGCAATGGAGAGAGCAGCTCCAACAGAACGCAGTGGACGTTTGCCCTGCGCCACTGGCCAGGGATCTCTCTGTAGTTCACCCAGGAGATCAGTCAAGCTCATATCACATTTGTGGACTGGCTGCAGGAATCTGCATTAAGTGAGACAACAATGGAGAATCACAATCAATTGAAACTTAATACATTCAAACAACAGAGAATCACAATGTATTACATCTTTACACTGAGAGTATTTGAGTATTATACAACAATGGAGAATCACAATGAATTGAAACTTTACACTGAGACTATTTGAGCATTAAAAAACAATGGAGAATCACAATGAATTGAAACTTTACACTGAGAGTATTTGAGCATTAAAAAACAATGGAGAATCACAATGAATTGAAACTTTACACTGAGAGTATTTGAGCATTAAAAAACAATGGAGAATCACAATGAATTGAAACTTTACACTGAGACTATTTGAGCATTAAACAACAATGGAGAATCACAATGAATTACATCTTTACACTGAATATCTTTGAGCATTATTAATACAGTCAAACAACAATGGAGAATCACAAAGAATTTAAACTGACAGTACTGATCATCCTTGTTAAAGGGTTCAATCCCAACAAATGCAACTAACAGTTACTGGTCAAGCGTATCAAACTATTGGTTTGGCACAAAGGAAGATAATGTTTTACTAGTAATGTATATTGCCAAATTACAGATATACACCCCCCCTCCCTTAGTAATAACTTTTAAATTTCAGGGGAAAAAATTCAAACATAAGAACAGTTTTTGTAATTTCAGGAAATATCAATCTATTTTTTTTTAAAAAAAGGATACAAAAGCTTTTAGACCTAAAAAAATGTCATCAGATTCCCAGGGTCTCCTGAAATTTCATGAGGATGCAAAAACTCTGGTATCTACACTAGTCAGAAAAATAGCAAGACCAGATCCAATAACCAACAATGGCAATCATAAACAGGGGAATCAAAATGAATTAAATCTTCACACTGATTAAATTTATCATCCTTATTAAGACAGAGAATCAAACCCAGACCTGTTGGATGGGAGCTGGGTGTGTTGCTGGTTCGCCGGTGCTCCTCCTCTCTGCTGCTGCTGGGGCTGGGCCTGAGCTCCGCGGCCGATGCCCAACATTTCCTGGAAACAATTTTAACAAGGACTAGGTAAATAAAGTGGTGTAGGGCTACAAGAAGAGGGGTTAGAAGCAGGCGCTACTGAATAAATAACACTTTATGTCAATTCTGTTAAAAGAATACAGGCAACCAAACAGAAAAACCAGGGCTAAATAAAAGAGAGTCTAACCAACTAACAGAACAACTCAACAACTAACAGTAGTTAAAGATGCAAACTAACAAAAAAGAAAACTATTTTTTATCAAGAATTTTAACAAAATTTCTAATGAGATAACTATGAAATGGAGATTTACTAAAATGCCAACCATGAACTTTACAAGGACATTGATGAATGCATTGTAAAAATAGCTCTAAAATTACTTTTAAATACAAAATAAACATTTGAGGTAAGATTTCACACACAGAAAAATCTGGCTGTATAAGCTAACATTTTTAATTTGATATGATTGAAAGATTAACAAAAATGTAATTTCAGCAGTCATATTTGTACATAGAACAAAGTCCTACTAGAGCAGTTACAACTATAATTTGGCTTGATTTTGACAGAAAAGAGATAAGTTCATTTAGCACAATGGTCTTCACTGATTTAAACACTTAACTTTTTAATGAAATAACTTAAAATTATTATCTAAATAGAAGAAGCACTGAACGTACTTGAATCTGTTTTGCTGTGAGCTCTTTTGTACCTCTGAAGACATAAGATTTAGACACGCCTTCACTTCCCAACTCATGGACTTGCACCATCTTACCATATGTGATCAGGCCAATCAGAGCATTTGGTGGCAAAAGACTGAGGGACATTTGCAGGGATTCCTGAAATACAACAATACAATACAATACATATATATATATATATATATATATATATATATATATATATATATATATATATATATATATATATATATATATATATATATATATATATATATATATATATATATATGTATTTATTTATTTAAAAAAATGAATGTAATACATTGATTATGATGAAGAAGAAATATTCATGAAACTTAAATGTTGAGAAATGTCAAAGAAAATAAAAAGTTATTTTAATAATATAATTATGGCAGCAAATGTTAGGAAAAATAACTGGTGCAGTTGATGGAATTATTAGTTACCTTTAAACCTTGCAAGTCTTCATCTTCAGGAAAACATGTGTCTACGACTAGAAGGAAAATTGGGGGGTGGCAGGTGGCCCTCTGTAAAATGGTAAAGATAATAGATTAGAAAACCTAAAATACCAAAACTTTAAGAAACACTGGTATGTTTAGCAAATATAACTTGCAACAATAAAATTATTCTATACATATTTTAAAAAGAGTTTAATTTTCTTGAATAAAAAAATATTTAGTTTATAGAACAACTGTTAAGAAAAAATTCAGTTTAACATAAGATTTACAATGAAGATGATAGGGCAAGTGATACATACTGTTATGGTGTACTCAAGGGTAGAGAACTGTGGTATAATTTCAGCTGGCTGGTGCTGTTCAGATATGGCAGCATACTGGGGTGGGAACTGAAACATATATTTTTTATTAGGGAAAGATACAAAGTCTTATGCACATTATGTTCAAAAGACATTAAATATCTATTAAAATAGTGATTATTACTGTCATGATTAACATGGGACATATACAGTTCAAGAATATAAAAACATTTATAATTAAATAAAAAAAACTTACAGGGTTTCTTTGGTAACAAAAATTACATGCCCACATCTTGGCTCTGTAATCAATTTGGCTGTTAAGAAGATAGATAGAAATCTTATAGGGCCAATAGGTTGGAATAAAAATAAAATAACTAGCAGTATTGATAGTAAAAAAAAAGTATCTGGGTAAAGGTTTAATTTTACTGTTTTTTTCTTACCAAAATGGGTTGAGAATAGCACGACATGTTGTGCGCGTACATAACACTGGGTCATACTGGATAGGTGGTAGATCAACTCTTTCTTTTAGAGGAGTAAATATTGCACCCAGTGGAACAACCATTCGTGTGGCCTCCAACCTACTTGAAGGCCATACATTCCAGCTGAATCGAATGCCATCCCTTTCTTCGTTCTGCTGTATAAACTCCTGGTACGTTGCCATGTTGATTTGCGGCTGTTGAGGTAATTTTAATTTAGTAAATTATTTACTATAGGCTTATCAACCTTGAAAACAATTTAATTAGACTAATAGCCTATAAGTTAAAGGCCTAAATTCAAGTATTAGAAAGTAGGCCACAACACTAGCTAAAAAGAGTAAGACTTACTGTGTTTGTGTTAATGTACAGCATTCTTAATCTTACTCTAAACTCTAAAATACTATTTAGTCCGTTAGTAGTGAGAAAGCCTGTTTCTTGTATCACAAGATAAATTTTCTGATTTAAAATTAGATCTATAGACTAGTCATGATAGTCAAGTACTACAAGTAGGTTAGTCCCTTACTCTTACTGGTACTGGCCTTACCACTAAAAAAATAGTAACTGTCCTTCTTACTTTTTATTACTAGATCTAGATCTAGATCTAGTATTACTGAACAGTCTGACTCTGAACACTGTACTGTACAACTATAAAACTAGACCTGGATCTAGATATTAAATAAGTCACTAGTAAATCTAGATTACGTGTCGTCCTTTTAACTTCAAGTTTTGAAAACTCATTACAAAAATATTAGATCTAGAATCTAGATAATAAGTAGATCTATATAGTATATTGTACAGGCCTACTTTTTAATTAATAATAAGATAAGTCAGTCTCAAAGTTAAAGAAAAAAAAAACTAGTCTTCTGAGTTGTTTTTCAAAGTATGTGGTACTGCTGGTATTTATTATGTCAAGTTGTGGCGGTAAATTATTTTATATAGATATACCAAGGCTAGTACAATACCTTCTGATTCTATTTACTTAAACTGACGCAAACTTACCTCTAGAATCTAGAACCGTAGCACAGATGTGGCAAAATATTCCAACAACACAGAAAACGATAAGGCGGAAGTCAAGCCTGACACGTCAGATGCATGGGAGACTACTCTCAAAAACTGTGTCATTGCAAGTTAAGATAACTCTAGCTTTGTTTACGATCTCGTTGATACCGACGCCGAGGCCTTGACGAGGACGTAAACAAGTCGGTGTGTCGGGTGGGGGAAGTGGCTGATCACCGATGTGTTACAGACATGGAAGAGCTGAACACGGTGTTGCATCGCTTCAAGCACAACATAGTCGAGGCGTCCCGGCAGCTGTCGAGGGAAACCATCGCCTTCTGCATGACTCAGGTCGTCCTGCCCGTGCTGGAGAAGGTCGGCGAGCTGGATATTCGCTTCAAATGCAGTTCACCTCTGCCGAACGAGGCATACTTCCAGGGCATGAAATCGACGAGTGTCAACGAGTTCGAGCTCACCGTGATCCTAACTCACCTCCTCTCGGCCAAAGCCTTCGACGACCTCGGCTACCAAAACAGTGCGTTTTCGTGCTACGGTCATGTACTGCCGCACCAGGCGCCGCACCCCCTGGGGGATGTTATCCTGGACTCGGGCACGTCCCAAGGGCTAGTGTCCGCTCTTAGAATCCGGCAAATTTTTTCCCAATTGGTCAGTCAAGCCGCGTCGAGTCTACCTGTGATAGGGATTATTGTAGAGGTCGCCTATAAAGGTAGGACTTAACGTTGTAAAAATTCTTTCCTTAATCTGGTTAGGCTATTCTTGTGTCGTACATTCCCCTGAGTTTCTTGAGTCCGTTGCTGAAGTCCTTCTTTTAATGTGAGTGTGAGTTTGTCACACGTTAGTAATATATAACTAGACTATATAATAGTTTATTAGTAATTAGTTACTAATTAGTATGGCTAGAAATAGGGTTATTGTTGATATTTTTAAATTTTGTGATTATTTTAATACAATAATCTGAAGCAAAGTCGGTATGTACTATGTATGTTGTGATTATTTTAATTCCATTACCCAATCTCGACTTTAGAAGAGAATTCTACTATAATGAATAGGTTTATTGTTGGTATTATTCAATGTAGTGATTATTTTGATACCTTTATACTTTATACTAATCTCGACTTTTGAAGAAAAGTCTACTATAATGAATAGGTTTATGGTTGGTATTATTCAATGTATTGATTATTTTCATGCCATTATACCATCTCGACTTTTGAAGAAAAGTCTACTATAATTGTATCAAAGGAAACCAACACCCCTGCCCACAGGAGTAGGCTAACCTACAACTGACTCACATGCCGTTTGATTATTCCCCCCCCCCCCCCAACCCAATCTCTCGTCAATTAGCCTTACCCACAAATTAGTGGTACAGATGGTATCGTTCATGTCGATATGCTAACTCTGAATATTGGTTTTAATATTTGGTTTGGAATCGATTACGATGAAAATCACCGGATGTAAAATGCAATATGTAGTGGTTAGCGTTAAAATTAAGTTTTGAGTTTACTGGCAAAAAAAATAAATAATTAAGGTTAATTTCGGCTACTAGACAAGCTATACATTTAACTTCAACTATATAACCCTAACATTTGATACTAACGATTTGCATACAATTTATATGATAACGGCTAAGTACCAAAAGCAGCAGCTATGTAACACTTTCAACCTTTCTTATTTAATTATTTCAATAACAACCAACAGAAAAAAAACAGTTTATAATTGATTAATAAAAGGCATGCCTATACAAATACTGCCAGAAATGTCAAAAAGACTACTTGACAAAAAGCTTTTGTTTAGCTTATCAAGTCAAGTTTTTTTTTCAGCGCCAAGTTTACTTGAAGTACACTACATTAGATAACGGCTTGACAAGTAACGAATACAGCGGTAACTAGCATACTACCGTAGGCACACGCAAACTGCTGATTAATCATTCTAAACTTAAAGGTCATTGAAAGACGTTTAGCCCAGTTAGGTAAATGTATTTAGCAGGGTAGACCGATATACGAGGCTCACAATGTTCCAATAAGGCTAAAGAACAATACACCCGAACATTGAAGCTATTGGGTCTGTCTTACACACAGTGTTATTTATAAATGTTCTCACAGTCTAACCCCATATCTATCCCAAACCACCAACTCCCCCCACAACTAAACTCCTCCACCCCTCAATCTAACTCCTGCCCCCCCCCCCCCTCAATCCATACCCCACACAATCCACCCTTACTCGCCCCCCCCCCCCCCCTCAATCTAACTCCTTCCCCCCTCAATCCATACCCCCCCACACACACACAATCCACCCTCAAACTCGCCCCCCTCCGCTCAATCCAATTACTTCCCCCACAATCCTCTCCTTAATCCTGCTCCCCCTCAATCGAAACACTCCCACCCCACAATCCACCTCTTCCCCCTCAATCCGCTGACCCTCTCTTAGCCTATTTACTCCCTTCCCGAAAACACGTACTCAACTCTCAATCCACCAATTCCCCCACCCCTCAATCCACCAATTCCCCCACCCCTCAACCCACCAACTACCACACCCCTCAATCCACCAACTCCCCCACCCCTCAATCCACCAACTCCCCCACCCCTCAATCCACCAACTCCCCCACCCATCAATCCACCAACTACCCCACCCCTCAATCCACCAACTACCCCACCCCCTCAATCCACCAACTCCCCCACCCCCTCAACCCACCAAATTGATTGAACAGATATTCTCTATACAAGCAGTAGAGTATCGGGTGGGGGAGGGGGTGGGGGAGAAAAATAGAAAGGGGCGGGGGATGCAGATTTATTTGACCCACGTACCACTTTTAAGTTAATAAATGTGACATATAGGCATACGTGTGACAAGGGAAAAAACAAATGACGATCAACTCTTCCAGACATCTCTAGACACGCCCATGGACAAAGGGTAATGTGTAGTTTATGTAGACTGGATGCTCATAGTTTTATACTCATACTCATAGTTTTATACTCATAGTTTTATAGCCTGTGTACACACCTAAGTTTACATGAAATTATAACCTGAGTCCACCATATAGTTTTATAACCTGGGTACTCCCCAAAGTTTTATAACCTTGATACTCCCCACAGTTTATATAACCTGGATACTCCCCAAAGTTTATATAACCTGGATACTCCCCACAGTTATATAACCTGGATACTCCCCACAGTTTTATAACATTGATACTCCCCACAGTTTTATAACATGGATACTCCCTCAGTTTTATAACATGGATACTCCCTCAGTTTTATATAACCTGGATACTCCCCATAGTTTATTATAGAGCAGCTGTTCTTTCTGTTTAGCAGTGGTACGATGTATGGTTTCGTTGTGTAATCGACCTTTGACCCTTGTTTAATTAGCGGTTTAAAAAAAAAATCCTTATTAAACGACACACTTCACAACCAGAGGACAGTATCAAGAGGGTCAGATAAAGCAGCTTTATTCTCAGATGTAACGACGGTTCTCGTGATGTTTAGGGGTGGTTCTAGTCGCTCGTTTGCAGTGTTTCTTTAGGTCTTTTTTTTTCTCGGGGGGGGGGGGGGGGGGTCGCAAACAGACATCCGCTCTTTTAAGGGGTTCCATCAAGGCACCATTTCGTTTGGTTGTTGTCAACTAAGCACCCCGTACTTTTTGTGAGTACCAAACATGGACCCGCTCTTTTAGTAGGTCTCAATGAGGCACCCGTAAACCCGTTTTTTTTTGTCCCCCGTAATCAGTCTATTTACACACGGGTACCTCGGGAAGAAAAAAAAAACACTTCTCTCTTTTCATTTAGATAGTCCGTGCGATACTTTAACCTACATAACTACATTACCATTTTATTATGTAAGTTTCAACGATTTAAAAATAACTGAATTGAAAATATAACTTTATTTCGCCGCCCCCCCCCCCCTTTTTTTTCTACATCCCAACTTCCTTACAATTTTAAACCAGAAATAGTTAAAGGAAAACGACTATAATAAAACGACAAGCAAACTTCGTCTACGCCTAACTAAACACATTGTTGAAGACTTGATGACGTAAAAGCGTTGTTTTTTTTAAAATTACACTATAAGGCCTAGTCTCGAAAGGATAGCCTCGACACCAGATGGTCTGCGCCCGTCAGAAAAAAAAACAGAGCTCAGAAAATGCTGACGTAACTGGCAACTGGGTACAAAGCTTTAAAAAAATCTGGTTAAGCCAGTAGTACGGACGTCACTCGTGTGGCAGACGTCAGTTGTTGTGTGTGTGGGAGGGGGGGAGAGCGATGCGGTAACTGTTAGCGGTCGTTCGATGGTCGTCGTCTGCATTCGCGGACAACTAGGTTGAATCACCTTCTGTGAGTGGTCATCGCAGAGGCGTAGCGACCCTTCCCGGCGCCCGGGGACATACTTTCAATTTGGCGCCCCCTTGGGAGCAAATTTTTTATTTGCACCCCCCCCCCCCTCGAACTTTTCATTTGCACCCCCCCCTCAAACTTTCGATTTGCACCCCCCCCCCTCGAACTTTTCATTTGCAACCCCCCCCCCCCCCTCAAACTTTCGATTTGCACCCCCCCCCTCGAACTTTTCATTTGCACCCCCCCCTCAAACTTTCCATTTGGCGCCCCCCCCCTAAGGTCGGCGCCCGGGGACATATGTCCCCCCCCCCCCTCGCTACGCTACTGGGTCATCGTGCGGACGTTCCGTTCCTAATAAAAATAAGTTTGGTGCAACATGCTATTTTTGTGGTTTCGTCCATACTCGACGTTACACTCCAGTGGGGGGGGAGGGGGTTCAAACTTTTGTAACGAGTCCGGGGCGAGTGAGATTAAGAAAGTATGATTTTTTTTTTTTTAAAAAAAGGTAATTTGGTTTGAACCCAAACTCTCGCGGAGATTTAGTTTTCATAAGATTTTTGTTGTTGTGTGGGTTGTAATAAAAACTGATCTCAATGTTGACCAAGCTTGTAAATATTTTTGAAAGAGCCCGGTTTAAAAAAAAAAAAAGTTGGAACGTCATTTAAGTGGGTAGCTTTTTTGTGATGATGTGTTACAAAAAAAAGGGGGGGGGGGGGTTTAAATCATATTAAATGCGTGACGTCATTGTTTATTTACTGAATTATTAACATTTTTTTTTTGGCTAATTTTATTTTTGTGTAATGAACAAACCCGCCCAAGTTTATACCTGACAACTGACGAAGCGCACCTTCTATATAAATAATGTTTTTTTTTTTAATAATCCTTTGTGTAACTGACTAAACGCACCTTCTATATAAATAATGTTTTTTTAGAATCCTTTGTGTAAAGGAGTTCAGTCATGAAGACGACACTGTTTATTGAAGAATTTAAAAAAAAAAAAAGAAAAATCTATTGTATGAAAAGTAGGTCACAACCATGACACTGACAGAAGGGTTAGAAACGTGACCCTAGCGTCACTTCATGACTTGTGCAAGTTTTTTTTTTTGTGTATTCATGGTTTATGTTATGTGTCTGTTAATTTTGTGTTTGTTGTTCATTGCCTACATTTATTACTGATGCATATTATATATATATATATATATATATATATATATATATATATATATATATATATATATATATATATATATATATATATATGAATAAATGCAATATATTCCTCGTAAAGAAAGCTAGAGTAGATCCAACTGTAAACAACGCCATGAACGACCAAGGAAAAAACACAATATGTAGTGGTCGGGGGAGGGAGGGGGGGGGGGGCTAGAGATGCATTTTGTAGTTTGGGCTCCTAACAAATCTGCGGCAGTATTG